GCAGCTGAAATGTAAGCCAGATTCCCTGGCCAGGTAGTGTTTGCTCTTGCTGGATAACTAAAGCTGGTGATGGTTTTTCCTCATGGGCATTTTAAGTAGGAGAGCACCATTTGGCTTCCAGTCAGCTGGGCAATTAGCATTTTATAGCCAAGCAATATACTTAAAGGGAATTGCTTGGCTTGAGCATTGAATTACAATGGCCGGTAGACTGCCGCTGTTCGTACATAATTTATTTAGTACTCGCTTCTTGTTTAGGATTCAGGCAGAGGTTAATTTAATTCTGCATGAGAAGCTAGTACTTACTCTACATTAATGCTGTGCTGTACTGCAGTGCAGGGAAAAGTTTTTGTGTGGAGCTTGTCTTTGCCTGGTCTCTCAGCCGTGGAAAGGACAATTTTACCTACTCCTTTCCTAGCAATGCATTGTTTGCCGCAGCTGTTGACAGGCTTACGTTGGCACTTAAAAATACAGACAAGAATAATACCTAAAGACCATTTTATTCCACGCTGTTGCACATGTATTTTTAAGAAGCAAATGTGTATTGAATGTAGTATGGACCAATTTGTTCCTACAAAATTACAAGGGGCCCAGTTACCCCGTTACAGGTAAATAAAACGTTAATATGTGACCATGGTGACTTGAGAGCGAGAGCTGCCACTGCACCTCTTGGGATGATCTGCGGCAGAGAGCAAACATCCGGTGTGTGTGATCTCGGAAGGATAAAAAGAGTAGGTAAAATGTGCCTCAGCGCTCCAGAAATGAATTAGAAACTTTTATGTGGAGGGAATGAATGTGTTTGTTCGTGCTCTTAATGAGCCTAAGTGATTAACTCGGTGCTTAGAATTTTATCCTGAATCTCATACACGTCTTGATTTTTTCCTGAAGCCCTTGACTGCTGGAATCAATGTGGGGGAATTCTGGCTTTTTTTTTTTTTTTTTAAGCTCCTTTCTTAGCAAAGTGATTGCAAAGAGTTCCCAAATGTGAAGTAAGTAGGCAGCAAGGGCTTAGATGCTAGAAGGCTGCTAATGAGAGCGCAGCGTTTGTTTATTTATGGTTTAACCTCATGATTTCTGGATGACTTAATAATGGTTTTGAGTCCTTGGGGTACCAGTCCTGGAGTGCCTAGCTGCTGCCAGCCAAACTTCCCTCTGGCTTAGGCTGTACCCCTCGAATCTGTTGTCTCAGCCCACTTCAGGCTCTGCACCTCTGCAGGCGAGCACAGCAGAGGCAGTGAGCAAGGATTGCACACCCAGTTTGACTTGCCCATAGAAAGCCTCCCTCTCCATACAGGGGCACGTAACTCTGCGCCCAGAAGCCTTTGTGGGCTTTATCTACTGCGTTTGGGGGTCTGGCTGAAGTGATGACTTGGCTGCTGATGGTTCATATTTTGTGATAGTAGTCTTGGCCTGCTAACTAGAAGCATCCATTCTTGCAACCATCACTGCTGTTGAAAGAGCTGATATTTTGGACAAATCTCTTAAAAAAAACCAACCAACCAAACAAACAAAAAAAACCAAAACGAACCCAAAAAACCAAAAAACCACACCCCAAACAAACAAAAAAAATCTCGATCTTTGGCAGAGGAGCGTTTCAGGCACCTACAGATGCTGAACTAAGGCCTGATGGGGATTTCTCTTGAATTGGATTCCTTAAATAACACTTTGATACCAACATTATTTTTTCATGGAAATCACATTAGCAACAATTTTAAAAAAAAAAGAAAAAGGCAAGTGGTAGCCTGAGGGAGGTAATTCCTGACTTGCAGTAGCTGGCCTCCAAGTTGGTTAATGGTCTAGGTGTAAAGCTAGCAGCTCAGACCCTAATTGTTCTCGTAATCAGGGAAATTGTTACCATATGTTGTTGCTGTAACCTTTGCTGTTTTAACCAAGCTCTAGTTGTGCTGTAAAAATGATTAAATGGTTTCTCACGGGAGGAATTAGATTGATTTTTTTTTTTTTTTTTTTTTGGCTTGTACAGTTGCTCTCTGGAGTATGGTGGGGCTGTTTTTTATCGCAGAAGGACATACGCCATCTCTGCCTCCCCTGCAGTATCTCACTGCTATGTTTGATTTCAAGCATAACAGCATCCTTTTATATAACACAATAACTTGCTGCTCTTGTGGGGAAATGCTGCGTTTTATTTACCATTTCTTTTGCTGGCTGGGCTTCAGCAGCATGTCCAGGTTAACCCTGTGTCCAGTGGAGCTGTGCCATGAGAGACCATTGGGTCCGTGGAGGCCTTTGAATGCTCGATGCCAGCTGAGAGGGTCTAACACCACGGCTCCGTGCCCGAAGGCCAAGTTTGACTTCATGGGGGGCTTTGGAGCCGGGTGGTGAGACGTAAGGGGAGCAGAGAGGCCCGGCACAGGATTTTACTGGTCAGCCTGTGTTACTGCTGCTTCGGATAAGGAAAACAAGAAAACATTGATATGTGGATAGAAGTTGAAGAGTTCCTGATTTGCTCTTGGGTGGGACTTTGGTTGTGATTCCAGATGTGGAATTTTAAGCAATGGACCTGAGACACGGTCACATTATCCCAGCTCCCAGGAGTCACTCCCTGGGGGTCAGCTGAGCCTTACTAACTTTCTGTGTTTTCACCCCAGTTAAATTCATCAGCATCAGTGTGAGAGCTTTCAGTTAACACATTGTATCTCACACTTGTAGCTGTGTGAATGGATGGTTCATTGGTACATCCCTGTTAACGGACGATAGTTTATTAAACTGAAGTAACTTTGTTTTGGTGACTCACTTTTCTTATCTTGAAAAAGCAGAGCAATGACATTGACCTTTCTTTAAAGTGTTGACATGTACAGTGAGCGGCACTGCGCAAGGGCTAGGTATTATCATCACAAGCACTAATTTGAAGGTGAAGGCATTTAGAACAATAAAAATGTTTATTTTTAAAATAAATTATTTAAACAGATAACTAGGTCAGAGTGTCACCTCTTGCAACAATTTGAATCTTGGGGCCATTTCTGCTTGTATTTGGCGACTGTCGGATTCTTGCCAGAAAATGTTAAGTTATAACAGCTACGAGGGTGTTCAGTCGTGGTTATATGGGATGGTATACTCAAATAATTTTACGGAAAGAGCTCATGGGAGTGTTGACAGCATAAAGGTTAGCTGTAATGTCTTTTGTGTCTGCCAGTGAAATAGCTAGCGATCTGATGATTACACAAAGACAACGCAAATTCCTTATGCATTCCTGACTCAGTGCCGCTCCACACGCCGGGTGACTGGAAGCACAATTCTTTCTCTTTTTTTGCCATGGAAATTGCTGGTTAAAGCTCAATACTTCGGTATATGCAAATTTTGATATTTTTGTTTGTTTAAAGCCTCAACACCGTGCTGTTTAGTCATAGCGGATATTGCAGTCCAGACATGTGCTGTTAAATCCAATAGATTTTGCACCTGTTTTGGTAACAGGTGCAAACAAACTTTTGTTTAACATGGCTCAAATGCACAAACTACAAAATGCATTTGGCTAATGACTTGGCGAATGCTTGGTCCGCGTTAGCCAAACTTCACATTGTATAAAGGTCTGCGGAGTCTTCTTTCTTAGCAGCACCAAAACCCAAACCAGCTGTGACATTGAGGTAGTTCTACTTTATCCAAAAGAGAAACTGCCGAGGAGTATGCTTTGGGTATGGATCAGAAGAAAAAAAAAGTTATGTCCAGAACATTTTTTTTTTTTTTTTAGACTATCCACTCTGATTACTTATCAAATGCTGCAGGCTCACTGAAGTATTTCCTCTTTCAATCAGGCTTAATTTTCCTCCTATGGTAACTTTGAAAGGAGAGAAATAACAATGGGGTAACTTGGAGGGGAAGTGTTTGGGTGAATGGGTGATTGTTTCAGGAAACGTGTTTCTGGGCTGCAGCAGTTCTTCCCCTGGCTCCCAGCGCTCTGTCAGTACCAATGCCTGTGCCCTCCCGGTGGCCTGGAGGTAGGCTGGGAAATGGAGGCAAGCAGGAAAAAGGCGCCTGCCAAACATTTGTTAGAGTTGTATGTGCGAACCTTTGTTTCCTGAATACTGGCGCGGTGCTTTAATCGCACAACCATTTTCCTCTCAGGCTTTTTCTGTGAAATAAATACTTGCCTGCAAAATGTTTTATTCGGATCATCGCAAGCGAGTGCTGCTAACTGCAGGTTGAAGCCAACAACTGTACTCCTGTGCTCTGTTTGTTACCGGGGTGCATGGCTGAAGGCATTACCATGCAGAGTCCCCTTTGCAATGTGTTGATTTGTCCATCTTTGAGCATTTTGCTTGCCTCAGGGCTTGTAGCCTTTCCTGTCCCTTAAGCCCATTCTGTCATTTCAGAGTAGCTTCAGGCAGCTGAGATTTAAATATTGAACCTGACCAAGCGATGCACCTTCCTTCCCTCATCCTCCCAAATAAAATGATCGTTAAATGAAGTTCATGACATACTTAAATCTGTTTTACTCCTCGTTAAAAACAGCGCAAATAAATCTAGAACTTTAAATGCATTTGCTATCAGCACTGCAAGTTGTCTGTTCCATAGCTTTTCCCCAGCCCATCATTACAATCTCAGACCCGCAAAATAATTTGACCAATTATTTGAATTACTCAAACTTCACAGAATGGCTTAGGCACCTTTGATGAACCCACTGCATTTGTACGCCTTGAAACGTGACAGCAGCTGTATGTTGAACATCAAATGAATACGGGTCGTGCCTGGGGTAAAGGCATGACTGATGGGTGTGCCTGGCATGGCCACGCATTTATCCTGATTAGTGCCACGGGACCCTTTAAGTTCCACATTAGCCATTGTTAAAAGAGGTGATTAGTGTATGTTAGCTGTGCAACCTGATGCCATCTTCAAATAGTGATTTCTCTCTCAAGTGGGGCTTCCTCTTGTGACCTCTGACCTGCCAGTACGTTTAAAGCTTTGTTATCGATGGAGCTCTGTATTCTTTGTGGTGTAATTGATTGGAATTCCTTCACACTGAACTTTGCCTGTTGTTCCCTTTTGTTTAGGAGGTCCTCCAGCAGCTGATTGTAATGAATTTACCAAATGTTTTGATGATTGGCAAAGATCCTCTTTCTGGTGAGTAGTTTGTTGGGTTCTTCTCCCCTCTCCTCTGAAATGCTAAGTAAAATTTGCATTTTAAAAATGTTCTTAAATAACAAACATGCTTTTAAACAAACTATGTGTATTTGTAGCCAAACTGCAAATATTTGAGTATCTCCGAGTCTCACAGTTTGATGTATCTAGTATGTAATACTTACATTTACATACCTCTGCATGCAAATACACTATCTGATATATGTGTGTCATACACATATGATAGTGAATGTACCTCTGCATGCAAATACAATATCTGATATATGTGTGTCTGTGTGTCATACACATATGATAGTGAATGGGTTCTTGCCAGAGCAGCAACTGTTTCCTTGAAAGTATTCACTCCTTGCTGCAAGTGACCCAGGATACAGTCTGCCATAGGAGAATTGTTTGTCCTCCAGGTTTTCTGTCCTCTGCGCCTATATAATCAGTTTTGTTGTGGCAATGTGTATACACCAGAAAAGTCTTGCAGAATTGCCCTAAAGTGTGAGGGAACTGTTGCAAATGAAGTGTGGGAAGATGAATATATGAGGATGGAGAGAGAAATGCATATGTGACAAACTGGAAAAAGCGAGGAAGAATGGACAAGGAGAAAACATCTGCTGGCCATGTTGTCTAGGCAAGGACATCTGTCACGTGAGGTGTTGCGTCAAAAGTGACCTGGAAGCCAATGAGCTCATGGTCCAGAGTCCAGTGTCTTTGGTGAGACAAAATGAAAGCTGTTTAGCCTGACAACAAAGTTGACTTCTCTTTAGAAACACATTTCTGAAATGAAAAGTTTTGTTGCCGTGGGTTTTACTTTTTTCTTTTTGCGTGCCTGTTCTCTCTCTGGCTTAGCCCCGTGCCAGTGCAAAGGACAATGTATTTGTTTTTACCAAAGAAGGAAAACTGGATAAACCCTGTCAGCAGTGATGGGGAATGACATGGTAATAGGCATCCCCTGGACAAACAAATGGCAGAAAGCTTGGCAGAAGATTTTATTTTGCTGCTCTTTGCAGCAGTAGTGTGTGTATGTACAAAAAAGGGTTTATATCAGAAAAGAGTATTAACTTACAGATGTTGGATCACTGAAACTCAAGGTCTTGGCACTTTGGCAGTAAAATCAAGCTGAGGGTAAGGCATCCACTTCTTCAGCAAGCACATTAAAGTCTGCAATGCCAGTCTTAGTTCTCCTGTACAGGCTACTGTTATGGGTAAAGGAGAAAATAGAAATACAAGCGCTGTTGCTTTTCTCAGTCATATGGGCAATGGGCAGAGCCGGGGCTGCCAGCACCGGGGATGCTAGTGAATAGAGATGTCTGGGCCAACAAGGCAGTGTCTTTGCTGGCAAAGTGTCAATGGAAAAGGCTGGCTGCTTTCTCATCATGGCCATTCCTGAGCGACAGCTGGCAGGAGACTCATAATGCAGTAACCACAGCGTTGGTTCCTGGGGAAGCTGCACACTTAAAAGCTGTTCTGTATTTAGCTATAATTTCCCATCATTGACCTGCTGGTTTTTGTTGGCACTTTAGATCTTTCTTTCTTTGAAGAAAGTACCTGGTGTGTCTCTTGTAGGAAAGATACTTGTCATCCATGTGTTCCCATCTTCCAGCTCTTTTAATTACAACTAGAAATTTTGCTTTACTTTCTGACATCCTTTAAAATGTGGTGGTTTGGTATTGTTTGTTGTGGTTTTTTTTGGTTTTGTTTTTTTTTTTAAATGCAGTCTTTTAAAATTTATTTTATCCATTACTGGCATATCATTGGCATTATTCAGAACATGAGAAGAGAGGATAAAGAATGTAAAAATGTAACTTCTGGATGTCTAAAATTGATGGAGCGTGTGTATAAAAAATATGAAGTTCTTGTTTAGCCATATTATATAATGGTTTTCAGAACCACTCCCAAGTTAGACATGACACAGAAAGGTGGTCAACGAAGACAGACTTGAGATGTACTTGCTCCAAAGAACATGCTCAAGAAAGAGAGTCTGACAGATAGGATTTCAAGAGAAGCTCATCTTAATCTTACCCTTATGTAGATGACCACTGATAAGATGTGCTGAAGAAACGGTTTGAGAAGTGGAGAACTAGAACTTCCTTCAGGAAGAGGAACCTGGCTGAGGGCTGATGGGAAGCTCAGGAACAGGGAGGAGAAGGCTGAGAAGTTAGTAAAACCAAAAAGGAAGAGGCTGTGGCAAGCAATGTGGGTGAGCGATGACCAGGTTGACTGTCAGGTTGATGTCTTTGTTACTGAGTGTCTTGCAGAGAGGAGTGAGAGGAAGGCAGGGACACTTGGGAGGGGAAGAACAAGTTAAATGAGAGATTCTTTCTGTCAGCAAGAGAGCTAAAGGAGGGCTGCAGACTGAACAGAGATGTGAGGACAAAGCAGTCGTCAGCATTGGAAGCAGTTCTTCTGGCATGAATACAGAGAAGCCCCAGGGAAAGGTGACAGAGAAGCGAGGAGGCTGGGGGTGACAGCACTGTGGGGAGAAGAGATGATGGAGATGGTTGTTTGAGGGAAGCGTTTAAAAGTGGCAAGAATGCTAGAGGAGAAACCTCTTTCTCTGTGTCAGTGATCCAGTCCAGGACAGAGAGGGAAGAATAGTCCTGGAGGGGGCATCTGCAGAGACAGTGCTGGGCAATGTGGGGAGCACTAGGAGCTGGATACAGGTGCAGGTGGTCTGCAGGGCTGGGGTGGATCTGATGAAATCCCAGTTTTGCCTTCCCCATTCTGTAGGTAAGTTACCTGAATGAAAAGTTCCTCTTGACCAGAAGAAGAAAAATTGATCCCATGGTCACATTCCTGGAACAAATACAGTGTTGCTTTGAACTCTTTGAGCTGGGAAGGCTCCTAATGACTGTATTGACTCCACAGGTCCAAAACCAGAGAGCTGCTAGATCGTTTAATGTGTTTCACTGTCTAACAACTGCAGTGATTTATTCCTTGTAACAAGCCCACACAATGTTTTGCTATGCATGTTTTTCAGAGCTGTCTATTCACCAGTGCTATCTGAAAACTTTACTTTTTCCTTCAAAAACACAGCCAACAGTGGCGTTACATGTATTAAATTATAAACTGAACAGCTCCAAAGCTGAGAAATGCTGTTCTTGCTGTTTAGCTCCCATTTGGCACTCAACATTTGGGACTATTGAGGGCTTCTGCAGCTCTGCTTTAAATGTGAGACTGAAAAACAGAGCTGCCACCACTAAAAATGCAGTAGCAGCTGGGCTTTTGCATAGGAGATGGCACACGTCTGCTGGGTTTAGGAGCTTTCCTTGCTTTCACGTCCTCTAAATTATTTCATTCCATGGTGATTTTGCCTATTTCAGTTCATTTGGCCACGGGCATAAAAGTTGCAAAAATATTTGTAACAAGATGAAGGCTTTGACTGTTTTCTAGAATATAGGGAGCTGAAAAGAAACTTGAAAGTTTAATTAAAGGATTTAGAAAGTTTTTCCAGGAATCTGACTTGCAGAATGATGCAGCTGACGCTACAGGATTTATTCTCTTCCCTGCACTGTAGACAGCTACTACCATTACATTTCCTCTTTGTTTTTATTTTCCTCCATGTTTTTTTCTTGCTGAACAGCTTTTTCAATTCATTACTGCACCACGAATCCCCCTGTGCTCAATATGAGAATCATTACCATATTTATCATCTATACACATCACTGTAATCACCTTTTATAGTTCCCGCTGGTTTTAGCATGCCTTATAAATGGCCACTCATTCATGTGCCCACACAAGGAATATCAGTATACAGTATTGGTCCTGAACCTCTATTTAGAGGTGTTGTTTAATTTCTTACTTTCTAGACATGCTTAGTTTAACACAGGTAGTGAGTGTTCTTGGAAACTGATGGCAATTGATCCTTTGAAACAGTCATAGTTAAATGCGTGGGGAGGGGGGTATTTTTAACTTTCTTCAGACCAAGAATAGAAATGAGGTTTTATTTGTCTGAAGCAGGCTCATTTCTGTCTCTTCAAAAAACTTTGCTACGTAGATCCCCTTTTTCAAATTACATGTTAAGTTTGTGAATGAAAGTGCCCAAAGTCCTTGCTAATAAATGTCTGTAGAAGCTGTTTTTCATTAAAATTGCAAAAGATGTCTACTCTCACTGGCATGTGTTTTCATGTCTGGTTTCCTTCCTCTTTTTGTTTCACAATCCTCCAGAGGCACAAAGGTTCATAAAATATAAAATTAATAACAAAATGCTGCCTCAATAGTGTAAATTTAGCATTCAGCCTTTTCTCACTCAGGATGTTGCTACAGTTGGGAAAAATGGCACTTGTGTGTTTCGCCCCTTCCCACCTTCTCGTATCCACCGGCCACCCTGTGTAGCCCTGCGTGCGCTGGTGGTCCCTCTCCTCCGCTGGAGGAGTGACTAAGTAGAAATGTGCAGAAAGAAGCATCACAAGCTCAAGATTTCACGTGCTTGGGCGCTCTCATTTCCATTTTCTCTGCCATCTTTCCTACCCGCCTCTCTCCCCTCCCCAGCCCCACTGGCTGTATTCCCTCTGTACCTTGATCCTCCTTTTTTTTTTTTAATTTTTTTTGTTTTGTTGTTGTTGTGTCCCCTAATCCCTCCTCCTGCCTTCTCCCTGAGTCCTGCCATCTGTTTGTCACCCTCCGTCCCCTGTGAGAGCAGAGGGGTCTCCTGGCTCTGGCGCAGGGATGCTCCCAGGATGCACAGGTGGTGCTCGGGCTTTCCCTCCCTTTATTTTCCAGAAAACCCGCTGGCCCTCTCTCACGGTTGGGAGCAGATGGTCTTTCTGCAAATCCCCCAGGTGGCTGGCTCTCTTGCAGGCACAAACATGCGGCCTGGGAGCAGCTGCCCTGGAATTTTCAAAAAGGTGTAAAAGAAAAGAAAAGAGGTTTTTGGGGTGTTTTTGTTTTTTATTTTTTATAATTAGCACCTTTCTGTTTAAATGCTAGTTTGAATCCTGTCCATTTGTTTCAGCTTGTGGGTACCTGTCTGCCAGGAGCTGCCCCAGACCTAAGTGTTTGCACCCTAGGTTGTAGGAGGACGCTGTCTTGCCAAGGTCAGCTATTAAGCCTGGGTGGACCCAGCAGACTTTCTTCCCAGCTGTCTAGGAAGGAGTTGTGTCATCCCAATGAGCCGGCGTAGGGAGGCCTGCACACTCCTGCTTATGCAGTTGCACAAGGAACTTTACCACCTTATTAAATTAGCACAAATCAAGCCTTTTGGAAAAGACTGCAGAATCATTCACTGTTCAGGAGGCATGACTGAACTGGGGTTAAAGCTTGCCTGCTTCTGTTCAATGCGCATTACGGGATGCATGCGCTGTCCTGAGCGCAGAACTTAGCCGCTGCGCTGTGTAATAATCCTAGACGTGCTTCCGATTCACATAATAACCTTGGGCACTCCACTTAAGTGTGTGGTATCTCAGCTCTCCTGTGGGTGAGATGAAAGGGGAGAGAGGTGATTAATCCCTTCCTGGCTTATTCGGAGGTTTAATTGTGAACTCTCTCTAAAGCACTTCACGTTGGTACAGAGGTTTTTTCATACTCATATCCTATTTCTTCTAAATATCTCCTGTAAATAATGTCATTCTACAAGGCTTTAAAATGTTACTCAAACCTAGCTTGAGTATGAGTGATCTTGGAGTGCCTTAATGCTAACAAACTGTGTCCACCCCATGGAAAACAACTTCTGAATGAAAGCCCAGGGAGTTGAACTCTTTAAAACAGCCACACATGACCTTCTGAAACACTTGAGCGGCTGGTGGAGTAGATCTGCTAAGTAGGCCTTTCAACCTTAAAAGTGTTAAAAGGGTGGTACAATCTCATTTTCATTACATGCACATAGCGTATCTGCAACCATAAAATAACTTATTAAAAAAGAAGTATTGGAAAAATCCTGACAGTGAAGTTTTTTGTGAAAGCTGCCAGTGGAGAGAGCAGATTGCCAAATGTTATCCTTAAAACAATAGCAAACTAATAATCTTATGGTTACCTCAAGTCTTTTAATTTCTCACTCCTTTCTATAAACTCTGGCTTGGCCTTCCCTGCCAAAGGGGTTTGCTCTGTCTGTCTTGGATTCAGTTCCTGATGGGGGGGCCCAAGTGGGGACAAGGGCACAGAACGGTGTTTCCAGGCAAGGTCAGTCCCTGGTGGGAGAACAGGGTTAACTGTGCTAAGTTATTCTGCAGTAACAGCTGAAGGTCTTTCGCCTCACAGGGTCATGCAGCATCCCCAATGCCCATCATCTCACGGAGAGAAGAGCAAAGCTTCCTGCCTTTGGTGCAGAGAGGTAGAGTGTGGTTTGAGTGGCTCAAGTAGCTCACATACCTTTAGGATGGTATAGATGCTTTCACTGTTGAAAAGTAGCCCTCATGTTTTCTAAAATGAGTGATTTCAAGCCACTAGGCTCACAAAGAGGATAGCTGTGATGCCATGGTGCACAGATTGGAATTTATAGTCAACAGATGGAGGTGCCCAGAGCACGTAAAGGTTAGAGTACTTGTCTGTGTGATCCAGAGCAAGCAGCCTGGTGGCTACTCCTTCCGTCTCTCATGGAGAAGATGTTCTGCCCTTAGTAAGTTTGGGAGAATGAGAGGCACACGCTGGAGTCACTTGCTGTTTCTCTCCATAATTTAGCAATTTGCTCTCATGTCCCACAGGCATGCTCTGCATTTAATCCCTGGTCTGGATCTGCTCTGAAGTTGATGCAGAATGAAACCCAATGCTGAAATTCCAATGAGAACTGTTTTGTGAAAAAATGTCTTCTGACCAAACTAAGTACCTCCTTGGGCTAGTGGTGCCCTCAAAGGAACTGTTCATCAAGTAACAGATCTTTTTTTGTTGTTTCTGTGGGGGTTTTTTTGGTGACGCTGTCTACGTCTGGAGCACAGGTTATTTTATCCTGTCTCCTTCCAGTTGCGGGCAGTGACATTGGAAGAAACAGATGGGCCCAGTCTATTAATACATGGCTCTGTGATTGGTGTCACCAAGACAATTTCGGGTTTTTCAATAATGGGATGGCCTACGTGGCACCAGGCTTGCTGGCGTCAGGTGGGGTTCACCTTTCTGAAAGGGGCAAGGGTGTCTTTGCTCACAAGCTAGTGGGGCTCATTGGCAGAGCTTGAAGCAGGAGGGGGGATATCGGGCTTGCCTGTGACAAGCTGTGGAATGACATGCCAAGGTTAGAGGGACAGGGTGCTAGCGAGGGCTTTCAGCTTGTTGCTCTGGGATGTGCTGGCTACACTGCAGCACACCTGAAGTCTTACAGAGATGAGTCAGGGGCTCTCAAGGTCACAGGAGCCAAGAGGGAAACACCACTGAAATACCTCAAATGAATTAAGGGGTGTTCCTCTAAGAAGGTGGCACAGCCAACAGCGCAGCTGAAGTGCCTCTGCACCAGTGCATGCAGGATGGGCAACAAGCCGGAGGAGTTGGAAGCCACTGAGCAGCAGGAAACTCAGTTGGCATTAGTGAAACTTGGTGGGATGAATCCCATGACTGGAGTGTGCTATTGATGGCTACAGGCTGTTCAGGAGGGACAGGCGAGGAAGGAGAGGCGGTGGGGTAGCCCTGTATGTTAGAGAGTGTTTTGGTTGTCTAGAGCTTAATGATGGTGATGAGAGGATTGAGTGTTCATAGGTAAGAATCAGGGGCAAGGCCGACAAGGCAGGTATCATGGTGGGAGTGCCTTACAGACCACCCAACCGGTTGGAAGAGGTAGATGAAATATTCTGTAAGCACCTGGGAGAAGTGTCACAATTGCTAGCCCTTGTTCTTGTGGAGGACTTCAACTTACCAGACATCTGTCGCTCTCTACAACTACCTGAAAGGAGGTTGTAGCGAGGTGGGGGTCAGTCTCTTCCCCCAACTAACAGGCGATAGGACAAGAGGAAGTGCCCTCAAGTTGCACCGGGGGAGGTGTAGATTGGATGTTAGGAAAAATTTCTTCACAGAAAGGGTTATCAAGCATTGGAACAGGCTGCCCAGGGAAGTGGTAGACTCACCATCTCTGGAGGTATTTAAAAGACGCGTAGATGTGGTGCTGAGGGACATGGTTTAGTGGTGGACTTGGCAGTGCTAGGTTAATGGTTGGACTTGATGATCTTGAAGGTCTTTTCTAGCCTAAACGACCCTATGATTCTAAAATCAGGAAATCGGAAAACAAATTGTTTCCTAAGCTGCCTGCATGTGGTGGCTTGCAAGGTTCTCAGAGTGGAATTAAACCCCTGTGGTAATTTAGGTCAGTGTGCCTTGGTGCATCTGCGGGGCTGCCGCAGCTTAATTGATGAGTCAGTTTAATTCCAGTTCCCCAGCCTTGGGTCCTGCACATGCCTCTGACTTTCTGCCAGCACAGCCTTACAAGGACATGGTGTTGGTGGAGGAACACAGTTGCGCTCAGAAATTGTTTTCTGTCTGTGTAGTGATAGGAGCAATTGAACACCCAAGTAAAGCAGGCTATAAAATAAAAGTGTTAATCCCACAGTTATACACTCTGTGTCAGGAAGCAGGTGTATAGGGATGAGAGAAAACTATACGTGACCTGTTTCTCTCTTTTTCTCTTCCCCCAGTGTGAATTGAGGACAGGCTTTTCCTGAACCTAACTCCATAATGATTTTTTTATTTCCTTCTTGAAGCTCTTTGCCTTCCGTCTCCCTTTATCTGTCTTTGATATATGTCATTTTCTTTACCACCCAACCATCCCCACGTTAATTTTGTTGAAAGAAGATCTGGGGTTGGCTCCCAGCCACACGGGTTCCCCTTGTGCGGCTTTTTCCTCTCCTAACCTTCGAAGGCGGCCGGCGGGGCTGTTGGTCGCGGCAGGATTCCCTGCAGTAACAACCTGCCTGTGCCTCCTCCCCGCCACAGCTCCCCGAGCATATGGCTGGCTGCATAGTCTCCCTTCCGCATCGCTCATTTTTTTTTTTATCCCTCTTTAGCACATGGGGGTTTGCGCTTCAAAGCGTGAGCAGGCTTTGATGCAAAACAGAGGTAGAATTTATTCTCTAAAACATCTCTCGGAGAGAATTTTTATGCGCAGAATGACATTCAGCTTTGGGAAGTCTGAGTGGCAACTGTTTTACAGACGGGGAATTTGGGACAAGTTCTTCCTTTGAGGGTAGCCCTCCTTTGCTTCTGCTCAGGGTGTTTTGGGGTTTTTTGTTTTGTTTTGGGTTTTTTTTTTGGGGGGGGAAGAGGTGGTGGTGGTTTGGTGGGCTTTTTAGCACCCTTCTTAATCAAAAACAAAGGGACAAGCATCGAGCATGTGCATTGAAGTATTTAAAGTTTTTTTTTCCCCCTTTGTTTATCAGAAAAGCTTCAGAAAATGTAGGTGAGGATACCGCATTGAGGAAAAAAAGTCTTCCTGGATTTGAGATTTTAAACTAATCTGTAAGAACTGTGTTGTTACAGGGAACGTGTGGTAACATTATAACGGGCACGTGGATGTTGTTCAGGCACTTGTTCAAAGGTCTTATTTCTCTTTTCAGGTGGATATTTTAGAGAGGATCACTAGCAAATACTTAATATGTTGTACATATGTACTGATTCCCTTTTTTTCCTCTCTAGGTAAAAGCATGGATGAAATTAAGAAGCTGCTGTTGTTGGTTCTGGGATGTGCTGTGCAGGTGAACATTCATTAAAGGCTTGAAAAATAACATTTTTTTTTTATCTGTTGTTTGGTTTTGTTTTTTTTTCTGGACTGAGAAAATCCACCCCAAAATCAGTGCTGTATGAACAGATCTCCAGCTCAAGACATCTTGTGAGCTGAAATTGTGAGAAGATACAATAGGTGAATGAAAGAAATGCAGGGGGAAGGAAGCACGCTTTGTGATAGCGGCAGCCTCAATTTGTTGTCAGTGCTTAATCAGCCACAGGATACGTATTCCTGCAGCTAAGTAGTCCACTTTGATAATAAAGTGGGAAGAGATAAGCTTTGAACAGCGTTCAAAGATTGTTGTTGGTTTATTTTCTTACTATTTTAAAATATGGAGTGGAACAGTACACGTGAATGCCAAACAAGTAGATAAGCTAACAGTCTAAATATTTGTTTAATGAATCCTGATTTTATTTGCATAATCTTTTGATTGCATGTTACGTGTCGAAAATCTGAAATGAATAGATACTTTGTATATTCATGTAGGGATTTTTATGCAGCACTTGCTAAAATAAATAGACGGGCAATGTATATGGGAAACTCCCCAGAAATGCATGACAGTTACCAGATAAAGAAATCAGTGTTCTGCTCACCAAACCTCCGCGGCGGTAAACAATAGCCACGTTGCAGGCTAGCCTTTGCTTATAATTGACCATTTGTAGGTCTGTCTAGTGTTTTTGTCATGCCTTAGGACACTTACCCTGCTCAGCTATGTCAAGTCAATTATGTCAGGGTAAAGCTCTCTACGTACGGCTGCTCTGAACTATCTCAGTGTTGCACTGCGGCACAAAGAATAAAGGTCTGGTTTGGCAAGCTGCTGTGCATCCTCAGTCCCCGTGGACGGGTCTGAGGTTCTTCCCAGGGAAAGGAGTGGTTGAGACTCAGAACCAGGCTCCAAAAGGACACTGTAAACGAGTTTAAAAACACCTCTTTAGTAATGCTTAACTTCTCCATAATGCCGCGTTGTTACAAGAGGGCAGTAATGTTGTTAGTGGACAATCACAGATACACAGATAGCAGCCGTCTGCCTCTTTTAAAGCCTTAAGTAAAAGATTTGCTAAAATCTGTTTGTCTGAAATGTCACTCATTTTTATCCAGAATGTTTCCCAACCCCGTTTTTAATCTAGAACACATGTTGACTTAGTCCAACAAGCAACATTTTGCATTGATGTGAATAGTATATAAAGTGATGCATCTCTTTTCATTGCCAAAACCGAGCAAAATGCAAACAGCAAAGCAGAGAGGTTAAATGATGCAATGTAAATGTAGGTTTGCGTTTCTGCAGCTTCATTAATGAAGCTGTGATGATTTCCTCCGGCTGTTGCCCCACCTCTTGATCTCGTTGTGTGTTGAACTTGTTTTTAAAGAGCAAAACCAGCCATTTAACTCAGCCTTAATTGTACTGACTGTAAAAAGTTTAAATAATTTAATGCATAATTTGTTTCATGCTCCATATGGAGCAATGAAGTATTATACCTTCTAGTGTGACAAAGTGTAGATCTTGAACGCTTTGTTGTTAGCAATGTGAGGATTTTTTTTAATTATTTATTTATTTACATGAAATATGGTTCGGTAAGTTTTAGGATATGTAGCACTGTTTCAGGATCTGTTTTCTTTTAACAGTGTGAAAGAAAAGAAGAGTTTATTGAAAGAATAAAACAACTGGATATTGAAACCCAAGCTGCCATTGTGTCGCACATTCAGGAGGTGGGACTCTCAGTATTGTCTCTTTTGACTTTTTATCTCTCCCTTCCATGACTTAATAGGGATTTTTGCTGTGAAATATTAGGGTTTGGAATTTCATAATGGATTCATGAACTTCACAAAAAAAAAAGATTGAATATGTTACTGCAATCAAATGATAAGATGAAAATGATAGATGCTGGGAACATCGCTTGGCTCAGGGGTCTTCTAAAGAGTTACAGTGATAAATGCCTTGCTTGCCAGTTACAGGCTATGCAGAAGGAATTGTTGTAAGGATACATGTGTAATGTTTCCAAAAAGCATGTATGATTTAGGAGCTGCAGTGCCCCTTGCAGCAGTGGTGCAGGCACTTAGTCCCCAAGTCAGGTGGTAGGTGAGACACAGGCTCCTCAAGAGGCTTGCTTCGGACTGTGGCCTCTGAGCACAGATGGTCTTGAAGAGTGTACTCTGCAGCTGAAATTGGACGTAAACTCTGTTTTTAAAGAGACGTTTGATCCAGGGATAAGTATTCTTGGACTTCTAAGGCTTCTGCAGAAGGAAGGAATACAGGTAGGCGTTAGGAGCCAGCTTGCTTTGGAGAACCAAAGGAGAGCCATGTGGAAACAGCCCCCGCTGGGAGTTCCCCTTGCCAGGAGCGGGCACTGACTGCGGCCGGGTGTCAGTGCTGCAGGTGTAGAAAGCCCAGTATGCTTAGATTTGAGGAACAAAGAGTGAAAGTCTAAGACGGGAACTTTTTTCTTAACACTTAAAAAAAAAAAAAAAGTTCTGCTTTAAAAAGCTTAAAATCCTGAAGAACTAAGCACATGGTTATGACAAAAGCAGGAACAGACTTTAACTGACCTCGAGAGACTTGCCTGACATTTCTGCTAAATGATTCAGAGGAAATCAGTTTGGGTAAGATAGAAGTTGAAAGGTACACTGCTAGCAGCAACCACAGACGTTTCTGCTAAAGGCAGCTCCTCCCAGCTGTATCCGCTGCAAATTGCAAATTCATTGAAAGCAGGGCCTCTTTGCAGTGAGCCTACTGTTCAGTGTGGGATCAGTCCCGTCAAATCCCTGTGGTGACCACCTCAGGGCCCTTACTGCAAGGGTGACCACCTTGCAATAAGACAGACCCGTACTTCTAATATACAAGCATATGTGCTATTGATCATGCTATGTATCTGATCACTTTTAAAAATCAGCTTTCATAATTATAAAAAAATCTAAATACCAGAAATTTCTGGGTAGTGTTACAATTAAGGTAGTTGTGTTTGTTATTTGCAACCTGGTTTTCTGTGAAATGTGGTATGTTTTTTATTTCATCAGTAGAAGAACTTGGGGGATGCAGTATATACAGCAAACAAATTAGTGGAAAGAATTTTTTTTTTTTTGGTTCCTGTTACTAGGTGACTCACAACCAGGAGAATGTCTTCGATTTGCAGTGGCTGGAGCTCCCAGATATGGCCCCAGAAGAACTAGAGTCTCTCTCCAGGAATATGGTTTTCCACCTCAAGAGGCTCATTGATGAGAGAGATGAATGCACAGAAGTACGATGACTTATGTCTCCCATATAGAGCTCATGTGAAGCAGCAGATGCAGGCTCCATTCATTCTCTTGTGTCTTGTTTGTGCACTGGGTTTCTATTTCTTCAGCTCCTTTCTACTACACCTCTGAAAACCTGTAGAAAGATTTTGACTTTTCCATTGATTCTTTTGTAAACACTAAGGTCTGGTGAAGTGATTGCTGAAGAGGAGTGTAGCAGTCTCTCCATGAAGTGGAGAGACTAAAATATTCGAAGTTGTGACTTTGTCTTGAGATTTTTGTCTCGGCGTGTCTGCTCAGTCATTCATCTTTGAGTGACTGCTTGCCTGTCTCTCCATCATGGGCTTCCAGTGTCTTCTCTAGTTTTCTTCTGTGTGAAGATGGCCTGATCTGTTGCTGACTGATCAGTTCTTTTCCCTTCAGATCTCTGGGGGAGGCTTTTCCCGTTCTTTAACCTTTTAATTTTCCGTCATGCTTTTGACTCTGATTGTATTAGTTAAAACTGTTAGTTGTTAAGGTTTTCATGAATTTTCCAAGCAAAACAGACTGCTTATTTTGAGCATTGGAAGGGGAATGTTTTAGTGGTCTGAGCATAGTGGAGATTTCTTTCCTCCTCTGTGTAACCTTCCCTCCTGGCTATCACTTGAATTCTGTATAATGCCAGGCTAATAATTTTCTACATTTATAAATAATTTTTAGATACTTGGAAAGCAATGTATAATTCTACTGTTTATGTTTTGACACTACATAAGTCTCTGTATTTCCAGGTCATTGTAGATCTTACTCAAGAGAGAGATTATCTGCAGTCTCAGCAACCACCAAGTCCTCTGAAAGCACCAAGTCCAGATTCTTCACCAAACCCAGCCAACCCTCTTTCAAATGAAGACAAGCAGCACCTTGCAGTTGAGCTGGCAGACACGAAGGCTAAATTAAGAAGAATCCGGCAGGAGCTGTGAGTCACCAGTGATTTGTGCTTCTAGAGAGACTTGTATATTGTCTTGTGCATCCTGAAAATGCAGGTGCCTGTCGGCTTCAGGACACTGGCCTCCATGGGACCTCTCGGAATCACATCTTTCAATTTTTTTATTCATAGCAGTTGGAAGCTAGTATAGGGGTTCCATCTTTCTTAACTGGTCTTTAAACACAGAGTGATGGCTACTTCCATTTTTGGTTTTGTGTCTCATCTCTCTTCCCCTTTTCAAAATGCCAACTGCTAACTGCACTTTTTGATTATTAGTGGTAAGTCCAGAGGCCAGTGAAGCTTGCTACGACAGCAGTAGCACCAATGAGATTTAAACAGAGGTACTTAGTATAAAAATAGAGTTGTAAACTCAGATCCATGATATGTATGTGGTATCATGAGAAACATCCTCTTGTTTTTATGAAGCTGTCATGACAAGGAGGCTCTGTGTTTAGAATATGCTAGGAGATTTCTATCTTTCTTTCCAGATTCCCTGCAGTATCCATAGAATGACTATTGTTTTAGGGGAAAAAAAAATAGTAGTTCCTCACTAAGATTTTTCTAATCCTTTTCAGGGAAGAGAAGTCTGAGCAGCTTGTAGATTCTAAACATGAAGTTGAGCAGCTCACCCTAGAACTACAAAAAATAAAACAAGAGGTAAGATGGGCTCATTTTACTGTGACAGTCTTTCCTATTTAAAAAAGCCTCTTTCAATGTGAGGCTAAAAATACTACTATGCCTATTTTTTAATGAAGAAATTGGGTTACTTCATCAAGCTGTTTGATGATAATAGCTACGGCATAGCAATGCTACATTTTCCACTTAACTGGTGAGAGCAGTCTCAACTGTTCAGCTTGCAAATAGCCCCATAATGCCTGAAGCTTATGCAGCATCAGGCATTAGAAATGTCAGAGTCCCAACAGGCTGAAGAACCTCTCTGTCTGGTACAGAATTTACTGGCTAGTACTCCTGAACCACCGGAATGCTATTTGCCTATGCTTAAAATAAGCACGTTACTAAATAAAAATAAAGTTTAAAGAACATGCTTTGAAGTATTAACTAAGATTTTTCTCCCTGCTTATTCCTCACTTCCACAGAATATCCACCTGGCCTCAGATGCTCGCTCTGCCCGAGCATACAGAGATGAGCTCGACTCTCTGAGAGAGAGGGCAAACCGTGTGGAGAGACTTGAGATGGAACTTGTTCGGTGCAAAGAGAAACTTCATGATGTGGATTTTTACAAAGCTCGCATGGAGGCAAGTGAAAATTGGGCAAAAGATTTGCTGAGTAATCCTTAACATGTGGCTTTTGTTGTGTTACCGGTTCATGTGTCATTTGTCATTCAGCTGACTGTAGCAAAACATCAGAGCAAGTGGAAATTTCATAACATACATCATCGTTGTTGACTTAGCAACATTAAAACTTCTTTCAGTGGCAAGAAGGACTTGGTGCACACAAAAAATAAATACCCATTAATTTTAATAAACTCTTTTTAGTTCAGCATTATGTGGCTAAACAGGACAGACCTTTTCTGGATGCTGCTTCTCGAGAATCCGGACTTTTAGTCTAGCCTTGAAAATTTACTCTTAGGTAAAATGTCTGTGTTCCAGAGTTGATCCTTTGACCAATGTTTTAAATGTCATGTATAAATTAGCTAAATGAATGTCTGGGTGTTTTTCCTTAGGGTTTTGTAGCGGATGAAACTGTTTTAAAATGGCTGGGCATTTTTAAGCATGACCTCAGATGACAAATTCTAACTAGCCTTTTTTGCAACTGTTCCTTGCAGTAGAAAGGAGAGAAAATTTGGATCTTCCCTACTGCCCTGAGTAGGGTATGACAGTGAGAAATGTATAGCTTTGTTCCAGTAGTAATGCCAGTTACTCAACTTAGTCACCTGCAGCTATGCCTGTCCTGGAATTAGTAATTAACTTAGGTTGGAAAGGACCTTGGAGACCATCTAGACAAACTCATTGCTCACAGCGTGGCTGACCTTAAATTTAGGTCAGACTGCTCTTATTTTCTCTCCTTGCAGTTCTTTGAGCCATTCCCATCTAAACTCTCAGTAATCCACATACGTAACACTTCAGCTGAAGTCAAATAAATATCCAGACTTGCTGAACACATGGAGATTCAGTAATTGACAACCTCACTATAATTAGATAAAATCCCAGGTCTGAGGTAGAAGAGTGATGTTGAAACTCACATTTGCCAGGCCTCTGGCTGAGAACACAGACCTTATTTCTGCTCTATAAACTCTACTTTTAAGCACTTTTTTTTCCCTCTCTAACCTAAGGGGCCAGCTAGCTGCTGCTTCTTATGAATAGGGTCACTAAAATGGATGGTTATTGAATGTAGTCATAGACTACAAAAGCCTGTCTTCCCTCTCAGTAATTCCCAGTTTACATTAGGAAATATGAAGTTCTGGCTCTCTCTGTTTTCCTCCCTCAAGCTGGCAAATCAGCCGTGCATTAAACTGGCACACTAGCTATCAGCGTGGCATCCTGGCATTTCCCTTTTGGCTGCGCTTAGCTTCTAACTGCTGCTCAGATAATTTAGCTGGAGCTAGGAGAGGAGTTTTTTTAGTCTCGTCTTCATCTGAGATCGAGGGAGTAGCTACTTCTGTTCCTGAGTTCTCAGCCTCCTCGCTTGTCCTAGAGCCAGCAGTTTCCTGCTCTGCTGTCTGCATGCTAATCTTGCTTAACACGTCCTTCAGTAAAGAGACCTCCACTTCAGTTTCAAATTTGTTCCAAGTTTCCTCACTCCCTCTTCCACTCTGTCAAGTTTTTGGTGAAAGTATGCAACATCAGAGATGAGTGTTGGCTCTCCAAGGGTACCTCCCTGAAGTACGGTAGTGGGACAAAGAGTATTTCCCATTGATGCGGCACATTTCTAATTCCGGGCCACAGTGTGGCCTCTAGCAAAAGTTGTTGCTGCTGTAGGGGCTGAGCTCTTCTAATATGCGGCAGGATTGCACAGCTGTCTGCAGGCTGCCCTGTGGTCTAGGATACCCAGAGGGTTTCACATTCTCACCACTCCCTCTCCCATCATTGATCAACTCTTGGCACAGCCATGGACTGCCGGTGTTGAGCAGTGGCAGCGTCAGGCAAACTCCACTGGTTTCATGCTGATACATTCAGAAGATGCCACAGGGCGCTATTCTGTCTTTTTTTACAGTCATGGAGTAGCACAAAGGCTGTGCATAGTAGCCAGTATCTAGCTTTCCATGGCCCCTCAGTTTTCTGTCGTATTTGTCTCAAGTCTTCTACCCCTCCTGGAGTCAGTTCTGTGTCTGCTCAGATTCCTCTCACTCCCTCAACAACTGTTTGACTTACAATTCCAAGTTGTAAGATTTGTGCAGGGTTGTAATGTGGTAGAGATTTTTACCACTAGATAGTACAGTGCTGATTCATCTCATGGCATTTACTGGTGGCGGCTGGCTTCCTGAGCTCTGAGTCTTAAGACCTGAACAAATCCCACAGAGGCACAGCAATGAAAAAGAAGGTGTGTAAAGTACAGCATAAGCCACTTTTCTATGGTAACGTGATACCGTAAGGCTCATAGGGTGCTGACAGGGTTGTTAATGAGCAGTGCCAAATTGGTAAGTAAGAAGAAAAAGTGAGTTTACCTTTGTGCATCAATGCAGAAAGCTATTAAGTGAGCACTTAAAAATCTTTTCCTTCTTGTAATTCACATACACATTTGGTAGTTTGAGCAAAAAATATGGAATGTGCTCTGTGTATGATACCATGGCAAACTTTCAGAATTGTGAGCAAGCTTACAAGTAGTTTCTGAAAGCACACGATACAAATCAACGGTGGTGGCAGGAAGAGATTTCGGGAGCTGTTGCAGAAGGAGTGCAAAAGGAGCAAGTTTTTCTTATGTGAACATAACACATTTAGGCATGTGTGTTGTTTTCCTCCTTGGTACATCTTGACAAAGTTGTTCAGGAATGACATTTTAATTTGACCATCGTTCAAGGAACACGGAGATAAAAATGCTCTGGAGACCTTCCTGCTGGTGTGGCTTAATGAGGTCGTAACTGTGAATGTGGAGGAGCAGGCTTACTGCAGGGCTTCCTCCAAGGAGGTGCATCTCCCCAGTGTAAGGCTGCCCTCCGTCATTCCTCTGCGTTGAACCTTGTGCTGCTCCAGGAGATCAGATTATTTTCTGAGGCCAGGGAGTCTGCCTTGCCCATTCTTCCTCCTTCTCACTGCAATCACATTTCCACGTGGGATGGCAGGAAGAATTTATGTGAATGTTGAAAAAAGCAAAAGCATCTCTTGTATGTTTTCATATAGCTGTCCAAGGCAATGTTTGATTGCCGCAAGACGGTAACTGTGGCAAGGCTCGGTAGGGGCAGCTTCTGAACTGCCAGAAGGGAGGGGTTTGAATGCTGTTTAATAACTAGGTCTGCATGCATGCGCAAATTCTCTAGTTTCAGATTTAAACAATCCAATTGCTACTTTAGTTTCTGAAAATGTTTTCCAGTAGCAACACACCCTGATTGTGCAACCACTTACCCTCAGAGTTAATTGTAACCATATGAGTACACAATGCATATTCTTAAACCTATTTCAAGGCACAGTGATACAGGATCAAACCACAATATGTAATTTATTTTAGAAATTACAAAAGCAGAATTATGTATCTTGGATATTAAACCATCACAATTTAAGTGATATAAAACAAAGGTTTCTTTAATCCCTTGCCTAGTAAATTCAGTATATTTAAAAAAAAATACATCCACAACCAACTATTTTAGGTATTGATGTAAAAATAAACAAAATAATGTTGATGGGTTCGTTAATTAAAAAAACCCCAAACCTTAATTCCGGTGAAAGCACCACCACCCCATGACCACCACCTACTGATTGTCTAACAAGTGTGATTTGTAGTCAGACACACTATTAGCTCAACTATGTTATCCCAGAGACTTCGGGGAGATGTTAGTGCTGACATGTTTTAGTTAGGACAGTTTTACCTTCCAGGCCTTGTGATGTAAGTCTACAAAGCTCCCATGGAGTAATTATTTAAATTATATGAACTTTTCAATATTAAAACAACCTCAGATCACGGCTACAGCGGTGAGCAATGTTGACCTCGCCATAGCAGGCATTTCCACCAGGTTATTAATTGAAGATTTCATCAGAACTGCTTTGAACTGACATGTCCAGACCTCCTGGGCAATTGATGGAAAGTGCTTGTCTTCCATATGTTGCAGTTCCCAGTGATGTGTGGTTTGTACCAGAGCCTGGATATGTGTACGTACTTGGCACGTAGATTGACTCTTCATGAGACACTAAAATAACTGGTTCCTGCTTGGTAGGCAGTTTTGGGGATAGTTCTGAGGCCGTGGTTTTGAGGTCAGACACCACCTTACTTCTTTGGGCTGTGATCCAGATTGAGTGTGATGATCTAGCAAAGTAAACTCTTGTCGTGTTGCTGTTTCCTTACAGGTATTCCGGCAGCTTACATGAGAGCCGGCACATTTTGTGTTGGGTACTTCCTCTGGTCTGTCATCTGTTTAGTGTCAGCCTTTTTAGTTTGCCCACCTTGAAGTCACCCTGTTAGATCAGACTTGGCCCCAAATGCTGATTCTGTAAAATTAGTGTTTCAGTATTATTATTTAGTTACTTGCATACTCAGACATTTTAATTGCGGTAGTTGAACCACTTCATAAGCATTAACATACTTGTCCTTTTAATGCTATTATAGTAGGGAAATTTTTCCTCTCGTATTTTGCAAGTTGGTAGCTGACCCGCTGAGAGATCAAGGGCAATATGGTACTGCATAAGGTGGACCCATGTTATGCCACCTACAGTCAAGACGCAGCAAACAACTAAGATCACGTGCTGTGTAAGGCTGTTAAATCTTGGCCACCTCTAGTATCAGAAGGCAAGGGGAGAGGCTGTCGTCAGACACTCTTAACTTCTGCTTTACAGCTACTTTCCATTTTTCCGTTTTTTTTTTTAAATACCTGAGCCACATAAGGCTCCTTAAGGCTGATTTTACCGCCCCAAAATGAGAAGTCAGTTGCTGATTAAGCAGTGAAAGTTATTTGCTCATGCCTGATGATCTTTCAGGAATCTACTTGGTTTGGATGTTTGTGGTCTGAGAGAGCAGACAGCAACACTGATGTCAGCAGAGACTTCACATTTTGAAGACAGTTGTCCAGGAATAAACTTGTCAAGCCACAAGCGTTTCATCCTGTCTGTGTGCACATTTTCCGGTTTTGCATATTTCATTGGAGTAGGGGAAGGGATGGGGGGGAGAGGGGGGAGGAAAGCAAAGAAACACAAAAGGAAATTTCTCTAGAGAATCAAATAATCTGCTTCTCGCCCTACTGTAACTCTTCTGGGCAAAAATCCTTCCTGTATCCATTTAATCTTTTAAATGCTGATATGTTCCTGCCATAGAAAATTCTGCCTCTGACTCAAGACTTATCTGAGGATCAACAAGAGTAGAAGCTAGCAGTGAGATATTATAACTTGAAATAAGACATAATTTAATAAATGTGTTTAAAACATGACCAAGAATACACGGCCAGATTTTATGCCTTGGACATTTCATGTTTCTGGAGATAAGATACTTGAATGCACAGAGCTTCATTTATTGCTTTGCAAAGAACATTTCTAATCTGTGGCTGCAGCAGAATAATAAGTTAAATTTTTACTCGGTAAAAACAGATCCAAAAGCTGTAATGGATAAGCAACGTGGCTTGCGCAGTTAATGCTCTTGTGTTTATTGAGGATAGGGCAGGGTGTGTTAAGTGATAAGTATAAAACAACTTTTTTTGTTTAAGTGAATTAAAATTCTGTTCATGAGAGAGAGAAACTCTATTAAACAGACATTTACACGTAACTGTACTGAAACAGGGATATAGCCATAGTATATATTGGTGGCTAGTGCTCCCCAATGTGTTTTGAATACGCTATAACATCCCTTGAAAGTAAATAATCTATTTTGAAGCTGGGGACTACAGTGAGTTGGCTAAGGAAATGGTATTACAGCAGTGGAATTGGAATTGAACTGTTGCTCTTCTGTGTCTTGAGACTCTTTGGTGCACCTCTTGATCTAGTCTCATATAAGGCAAAAGGAACTCCATTAAACTTCTAAAATTCATCAAAAACCAATAAGAAATATTAGATTTACTCGCATTAATGACTCAGATAATTAAACATAGTATCATCTCCCATTAAAATATCAGGTAAAAACTTTTTTATGAAACAGAGAAACATGTCAAATCTCTTTCTTGTGTTTTGCAGTATCAGTTTAATAAAGTCACCTGGTCTTTGAAAAGTCAGTTTACGTAGAGATTAACATTGTTACTTTTTCTCCTTAGGAGTTAAGAGAGGACAACATCATATTAATTGAAACAAAGGCCATGCTAGAAGAACAGCTAACGATGGCAAGAGCTCGTGGTGATAAACTGCATGAATTAGAGAAGGAAAATTTGCAGTTGAAATCCAAACTTCATGATGTAGAGCTGGTATGCCCTCTCTTTTTCATTATGCTGATTTTTTGAACTTCTGTTTTTGTGCTAGGTCGCAGATTCATGTCACAGAAACCAGTGGAGACAGACAAATATTTCAACAGTGCTTTTAAAGAGGTCTTTGATTTGAACATTATGTACATGAATTCTTCAATTATTATAATGTTAACAGTGTAAATATTGCCAATGCTACTTTGTGTGAGACTGATGAATTTAATATTATGCAAGAGGGTATATCGCAATTTTAAAATACAGATTGCTTTCATACATATTGATAACAGAGATTTTAAAATCTGTCAGTTAAGTAGAAATCTCTTATATACAGCAAATGAAATCTACTGTAGTAAATGATCTTTCTTTTTAAAATCAAAACCTCCAGCCATTACAGTGACTTTAGGAATCTGTTACCACTGTAAAATCCACAAAATTCCCAAATTTGCTTTTGTGTAAATCAGAGACATGGCTTATTGCTTCATAGACAAGGAAACATAAGAAGAGGCAGATTATTATCTACAAACAAAAAGCAACATTGGATTTTATAATCCCACTAGAAATAATAAATACTTTTTCATGTCTTGTATTTACTTAATGGTCCTCCTCTTATCTCACTGTGTTTTGAATTCTTGTGGGTTAAACTGTAATAGGGGTTTAACTATATAGGGTTTCCAACAGGGTCTGTCGGAAACAAAGATATTGAGGGTGCTGTGTGGAGTTATGTTTAATGACTGATTCAGGGCGTTATAAGGGTCATGTCACGCTCTAGCTTTTCCAAAGTGGCTAGTGGTTTTGAATGATGCTTTTCTAGGTGACTTGATCAATTTTTGGGTAATGTTTTCTGAAAATTTGGAACCCTCTGAGGCACTACTTCAGCTCCCACAAATGCAAATGGCCAAAATAGTCACAAGAAACAACAGTAGCCTGATTCTCCAGATCTGTTTTCTGGATATTTAAAACCCACAGATTGTCGCAGATGTTAATTGCTGATCCATATGACCGGATCCAAATGTGACGTGATGAGTTGTAGAAGCTCAGTAGAGTTCAAGGTTGTATCTGCAGAGTCACCAGCGCGTAAGTGCATGATGCTACATGTTTTTGAAGAGCTTAGGTCTGGAGACAGCTTGAATCCAGCCTGCCTTACTAGCCCTGGCTTGTACTGGCCCTGTCGTCACCCAGTATGTTCTCACTCCAGTCACCCTCCCTCCAAGTGTATCACAGACCTCAGTTGACTCTAAACGGGGCCAGTTGGGTGTCTCTGCGCTGCATTCTGTGGCACGTATGGCAGCCCACAGCAAACGTTTCATGCCGGACATGTATTTCAGTATCAAAGCACACAGTGTTTAAGGAAATTCTTCTACCCTCAACATTTGTTGTGCTTGTAGCAGTTCAACTGACAGAACAATCTTACGGATAAGCTGAATATGCATTTTCATTCATGCGTGTCTTGCACAGGACCGAGACACGGACAAGAAGAGAATTGAAGAGCTGCTGGAGGAGAACATGGTCTTGGAGATTGCACAGAAACAGAGCATGAACGAGTCCGTACACCTGGGCTGGGAACTAGAACAACTGTCTAAAAGCACGGATCTTGCAGATAGTGAGTACCAGCTGGGGTAGCTGCTGTTGTGTTGGTGGTCTCTTTCAGAGTAGACAGGTTGGTTGACTGAGACGAGGAACAGGAGTTGAGTCCTAGCTTGGAGAACTTCCCTCATACAGCTGCTTGACTTTGAACTTAGTTCTTCAGAACTTTGAAAATATATTCATTCTGGTTTCTTTTACTTTCTTTTGAAAGCATTAAAGTTTTCCTTTTATTTTGTTCGTCACTGAGAGAGTGACTTTTAAGTAAAATGATAAAAATAATAAAAAAAAAAAGCAAGCTTTGTAAGTGACAGGAGCAGAAATGTCACACCAAACACTGGGTATTTCTAACTGAATGGCTGGGAGGAGTCTGTAATCTTTAGTATTCTTTAATACAATTAGCACAGACAATTAGCTGGTCTTTAAGTCCCAGGAAGCATTGTATGCTGAAGTCATTTATTTTTACTAGATACTGAAAAATGTGTACAGTTAAAATAACTGGCTGATTTTTTTTTTTTTGAATGGTTGATTTGATTTCCGTGACTGTCACAAACATAACTAATGCTTCCTTCACTAGTCAGGTTTTAGCATTGGTTTGTGTCTAACATTCATTCTGTCTGTAATGCCAGCCTAAATAACAATGCCAAATGGGACTTGGGAAATTTAAGCTATTTCGTGCAGTTCGGGGTGCAGCTTTTATTGATTGCTCAACTGATTCCGCTAAGAGTTGTGTGTTTGGCGTTGGGTACCAGGAACAGTTTAACTTGAAGAGAAAGAAATAAATTAGAGTAAGCAGATGTTCAGTTTTCAGTAAAGCTGTCTAGAAGAATAGCTTTGTTTTGTAAAATAACTGAATGTGTGCCTGACGACAATTCTCAAATCTACTTGCTGCCTAGGATCTGAGTTCTCTTTACTAAGATTAATGGCTAATTAATTGTTGCTTTTAATTAATAATCTTGCAAAGCAGGTTTACCTTAGCCTGAGAAGTGAATGGCATTCTCTCCCTCCTTATGTGTAATCAAGGGTATTGCTTATTATGTTAGTCAGTGAGGAAAAAACACCATTCTCTCAAACCTTACAAATTTTGATGAAGGGTATTTCAGGAAAATGTAAAACTATCTTATTTTCTGGCTTGTTTCAAATACTAAGTTTTGCCCCCTTCCAATTTGGTTTCCCTAGTGATGTAACAGAAGGAAGGATGCTGGTTTTATTTTGTTATCTCTTATTTATTCATTTCTGTCAAACATAACTTTCAAAATTTGCTCAACAGAGTGGTTTAAGAAAAATGAAAAAAGATGAGATTCCTTCACTTGCACTAATGCTTAGCATTTCAGCACTGCAGCTCCAGAACCTGTCTGATTAACCAAAGAAAAACAGAGTAAGAGGAACTGAGAACATCAGTAATCTTTTGTATTCCATAGGAAAAAAAAAAAATTAGTGAAGGAAGCCTGATTTTTAAAAAACTAAGAACATTAAACTTTGAAACTTTAAGTTATTTCACGGAAGTGCTGTCCTACTTTCACAATAATTCTCTTTAAGAAGTTCCATTTCAATGCGTGGTGCTGTTCTGAATGCAGTTGGTTTGTACAAATAGAGTCAGTCTGCAAAGCTCTTTTGGAAAAACTCCTGCTCCTGGATTTCAAGCTGAGTCTACAAGGGTGGCAGATAGCTGAAGATTTTACCTACTAGTTTGGAATATTTTATTGAAAATGATTTTAAAAATAAGCATGGGGAAAAGTCATTTAGATGGGCTTTGCTTCAGGACAGAACTCAACTGGATTATTGAGTTAATGTTTACTATTTGAGTCTTCATTTGACCAAAACTCTCCAGGGGATGCTCCATAAAAGAGACAAATGGGATTTTACCATTCTCAGAAACTTGCCAGTTCTAAAGTAGTCAGTGTGTTGTATGTAATAGTGCTGATTATTTAGCAGGAGTGAATAATTTTCTGAGACTTAAAGACAATGTTAAAGTCAATTTCATATGAAATGTGTTTTTGAGGTGGAGGGTAGCAATTATTCCGTGTGAAACAGAGGGTTGCTCTTATAGTTAATCAGGTGCTGAGCCGGGAAAGGAACAGAGCAATGAGGCTTTGGTGTTGGGAGTTAAGGCTGAGAGGTAGTGAGACTTTTGATCTACAAACATTCGGAGTAAAATAACATCTCTGTTGTAAAACTTGCATAAATGTAGTTAGTTTAAGATTTCAACTTCAGACATTCTCTATGATCAATGTTCTGATGGATGTCCTATGCCTGAGTACCTGGTGGTAAAATATCCTCCCGGATTCAGCATAGTCTTGATGACGTAGCTGTGAAGATAAGCATTGGAACTCACTTTTGTAAGAATTTTTTCCACGACTATGTATGATCGAATACCTAAAGTTTTCACTACCTTTTATAAGTGCACCATCTCGCTGTTTTAGCAAACAGTTTGCAGTGGTTTACATTCCGCCTCAATTTATTTCCTCTGACGGAAGTATGACAGGGTATCAAAGTGTATTTTGCTACTAACATTAAACATGCTACTAACATGACCAAAGCAACTTTAAGAAGGGTTAGGAAAGTAACTTTTAAGATGGTTATCTGTTCAGATATCTGTTCCCCATTTAGTAAAGGTCTTAATTGTTATCTGTGAAAATGGGTTCTGTTTTTAACAAGTGTTTACTTAGCAGTCAAGCTGCAATGATAAGGATCTGACTGCAATTATCTTCATACAAGTGAATCTTAAGGACCTAGGAAGGGAGATGCTTGTGAATTGGTTAGTGCCACTTTCTGATTCTCATGTTTCAACAGCCAGAAAGTCCTTTGTGTTTGAGTTGAATGAATGTGCTTCGAGTCGCATACTGAAGCTAGAGAAGGATAATCAGAGCCTGCAGAACACAATCCAAGAGCTGAGAGATGCCTCCTTGACCTCCAGAGAGAGCAGCCTAAAGTTTGTGGAACTGGAAAAGGAAAATCAACAGCTTAGCAAAAAGGTAATTTGCTCACAGGAACAAACAAAGGTCTTCGGTTTTTAAACACTATGCACACAGGGTTGTATAACATTCCTGAACGATGAGGGATTGCAGGGAACTCACCCACATTCCCCAGAAGACTGGGCATGTTTTTGGGCCCATCTATTTAATTGCATTCTAACATTGGTGTATTCTATTGCCTTCTATTTCACTGCCTACTTACATGTGTCATTGTAAGCAAAAATGACTGTTCCTGTTTCATAAAAGCTGTCTTTCAGTGCTCGTTTGCCCATGTCTGTTGATTGTGTTGCTTTTTGTGGTCTTATGGCAGTCACTACGAGGCAAGGAAGCCATGGCCACATCGAACTATATGTTTTTTTGAAAGTTTTAATATTGTTTCCACATAAGTTGAATAAATCACACAGGTGAATTCAGGTCAATATATTTTTTAAAAAGTTTTTTTCTCCCCATAATCCTGGATCAGCTCTTTATTTAGTCCTTTTGGCTATTAGAAGTTCTCTAGTGTCTCCCTCTCCTCAAAGATCTGCGTTCTTTTCATCTTTGCAACAAACACGCAGGTAATAACTTCTTAAATTTATTTTTATATCTATGTGTGTTACACTCTATTATTAACTGTGATTACATTTAGCTCAAATGTCAGTTCAGTGCTTGTCCTTGTGAAACACAGTGCTCAGTTCAACTCCAGCCACTAGCTTTATTTTTGTCTGGCTGGTAACTTGCGTCCTGAACTCTGATTAACTGAGCCAAGTGCCAGTGGGGAAAGAGGATGCTTGCTAGTCTGAGTATAAAAAAATTTCCATGACAGTTTTTTCTGCGTTCCTACCTTCACTATATTATCCAGAATATAAACTCATTTCTTCTTTTCCCATTACTGCTGTAACCTCTGTGTGTGTGAGACATTCATACAAAGGTTTCAGTCCTCTCTGGCCTTCCTGTGGGCTAACTGAATGCTTTAAACGACAAGGGGAGAAAGAATCTAGATATGAAATGCTGTCTTGGATATGAAATACAGTCTTGGATTACCAGACTGTAACGAGCAGAGTGCCAGTTTCTTTGCCAAGAGAACAAGTATCCATCACTGGATCATTCCATCTTCTGGGAGAGATTCTTTTGCCACGTTGAGAGACCAGTTCTGCTTCTTGGCTTTCTTCTCTGAACGAGGAAAACTGTAAAAATTCAGTTCACTGTACTCCTCCTTCCACTCTCCCTTTTATGACCTGTTGTGTATGAGTAATTCACTCCAGCTCTAATTTACATGCTTAAAATTTGAGATCAAGGCATATAAAGCACTCAGCAGATACCTGTGGTGTACAGCAATTTAAGTCACGTGAACAACTGTGGTCAACTTTTGGCTTTGCCCCAGGCAGATTCCTGTGGGCATCTCTTGTTATGGCACCGTATTCGTGCCTGCAGTTGTGATTCCAGAATTAGTCTGATGTTTTTGATGATGATGAATGCGTTGACATGGTGGGGTCACCTACAGGTCTGGTAGTTATATAAGGCAAAAACCAGTAGTGGGGAATGCCTGTGTGGTGAAAGCGGAGCACTGTGTCTGTCAGACCAATAAGGAAAAAAAATGGCAGGTAAAATTACTACTATTAAGAGCAATTGAAACGCATTGAACTCTTCACCAGAGAAACAGAGAATATGATGGGAGCTGTTGACTGAATACCACAGGCCAGTCCAGTTGCTGATGGACTTCACTTCCTATTCAGGGAGATTTGGGGAAAAAAGGTAGTAGACAGTATTCTGTAGTCTGTACAAGACATACAGTTGTCTCTCAGTGTACAGAGACCCGATACATGATATGTAAAATAATCTTGATTTGAGATGTTTTATTGGTTTTTTTTTAAATCTTCTCTTTCTCTGATGTGTTTTTGTATTTCTCTCACACGTGTATCCCCATAATTAGTGGGTAATCATGTCCACAGGGGGGTGTGCTGGGGGAAAGGAGGATAGTAGGGGAAATCTCTCTGGTTCATTGCAGAGTGGTTACTACAGTAGGCAGAGGAGAGGGCAGAGGTTCTTAAAGACTGTTAAAGACAAGCACATATAAAGTCACAGGACAAGAGATAAAGAAGTGTTTTTCTCAAATGTGTTGTTCCTGTGGGTTTTTTTGTAACTTTCCCGAGATACCCATACCCATCTTGCCTCCCTAAAGTCCTTTAACTGGAGTCAGTAATCCACTGCCTGAGACTTTCAAAAATTGTTGTTCAAGTATGCTTGGCTATCTACTGATCCAGTGCTCGGAAGGACCACGTAGCCAGAACAGGATTATTCAGGTAGTACAAGAGGAGATTATATGAGGGAAAAGCCACATGCATCTTTTTTTCCTTTCTTGCAAGGTTTTCAGAGGAGCTAATCATAGAAAAACCCCCTTTCAGGCACAGTCAAGTAGCAGCAGTCCAAGCGCCTATCTGTTTTCTCGGCATTTCTGCCTTCTTGGACTGAAACAAGCTGTAAACAGTAGTTTCTTACTTGCTGCCCGTTTTCTGGGAGGTGCTAATGAAGATCAGCTATTGCTGAGTAACTGAGTTTGTTCCAGCTTTCTCTGAACAGCTCCTTTGAGCCCAATGAACCTTAACATGGTTACATTTCTTACTGTTAAGCCCTTCTTATCTCCAATCTGGGCAGCCCCTGCTTGTTTAAACACTTCCTGTAATGAGGCGCATGTTGACATAGGCAGAGCCCAGCCTCCAGCTATTTCCCACTTGTAAGAATTATTGTTAATACCTTTTTCATTGACATTTTCACTGTTGGCAAAGTTCATAATACCAACACAACAAAATGAGCTGATACTTGTGCGGAGCTGTAGGTGCTCACAGTACTTTACAAGCATAAAAAGGAATGCTTTCTGACTTGGGGAGCCCAGCTCGCTGAACCTCTTGCTTCTAAATACTGAAGAGCTACTGCTTTTCAGTGCTTAGTGCATTATGAGTACAACTTTCAAAAGGAAGGGAGTAAGAAGACATCGTTCATTGCAGGACTAGGACCTTATTCACAGATCTTTCAAATCCAGCATTGTCACCTGCTGGGGAAAAGAGGGCCGACAGAGCACGGGCAGAGGGACGGTAAACTTGGAAACTCCAGTGCTTTTCCTCTGTTCCTGATTCTGTTTTATTTTTTAATTCAGTTCCTCACTGAATTGTCTTAATAACTTTCTCCGCATTCAGTGGTGGATTGAGGCCATCAGTGATGGAGAGGCTAGGAGGAGCCAACTCCCTCAAAAAGGTGAGCACCAGAAGCTTAATCACCGACGACAGGAGCGCAGCAGGGCATTCAGGCAGGCAGGTGAAGCATTTCTTACAGCTGTACTGTATGTGCTCTGATCTTAATAGGCACTGTGAGAAAAACAAAACAGCCCATTTCCTCCTCTGAGACCGACAAGCTGCAGAAGGGAAGGGTTACATCTTTCAGCCGTACCACCCATCTCATTCCTCTCTGGTGTTCAAAATAACTTAAAGTGCAAACAGTCCTTGGGTCAAGCGGTGGCTGATGTGTTTTGGTGTGTTCTCTCCACACAGATCGAGAAGTTGCAAAATCAAATTGAAAAAGAGAAGCAAAGTAATCAAGACCTGGAGACCTTGAGCGAGGAGCTGATAAAGGATAAAGAGCAGCTACAAGTCGTCATGGAGACTCTAAAAGCTGACAAAGACAGACAGGTGCAAACTTCACAAATGTAATATAAAAGCATATGCTCGGTAGTGGTAATTTAGTGATGCCATTTAGAGCATCTGGCTCTTTCAGGGAGATAGGGCAATTTGAAAGCTATTAAGTGCATGCCGAACTTGTTCAAGTGTAGGTAAAGGCTTCTTCAAGCAAAAAAGCCCAGCATGTTTTGCTGCCTACTGCCTCTGTTACCATAGGGGGAACTTGAGGCTGTTGTAAGGACAGACCTTCCCTCTTTGGGGGAAAAAAAGCCCTGGATCTTACTAAATGGGATACCAACTGGTTTTAGGGTATGCAAATAAAACCCCATTTTATTGCAGAAGATTGGTCTTCTGCCAGCTCTATGTCCTGATTGGTTTGGTTGTTTTTTTTCTTTTGCCACCCAACCTTTTTTACTCTGTTTTTTAAAAAGATGCTGAGAAAGCATTTATGTCTTCTGGATTGATATTTTAAGTGCCCTTCAGCTTTTACTGCTGTGCTGCAGTTCATGTGCAATGCCTTGAAATTATCCCATTATAGGTTCATGCAAGGTATCATCTGTATTAATTTGACTAGCGAAGAAAATACAGACACAGATCATTGGAGGTTGGTCTCTCTATTTTCAACCTGTATTAAAATTTACTCCAAGTTTTGTGGGCTGAAGATCAAATAAGAAAATGTCTTACTTGTGTAGTGCTTTTCATGTTGAAGGATTTGTACCCAGACTTCTACCTGGGAAACTGCACTTTACCACCAAAGCTCTACATTTCAGTTAGAACACATACAGACTCTTTGTGGTATGAATTAATGAACGCTTCACAGGTAGGGCAGGAGGTAAAACCAGAAGTATTCTCAACCATCAGAAAAGGGCAGATTCTGATTTTTTCAGGTCTAAGCCCTTGTTGATGTTGTCTAGATAACAAGTGCAAATTGCAGTCTAAATCACAAGTGCTTCAGCTGAAATTTGACGAGTGGGGTAAGTGTACTGTTCTTACAGAAAGTATGTACTTAATGAGATCCGTAACTGCTATAAATTTTCAAACATTTTGGTGTTGCTGGTGCCTTATCAGAGCTAATTTGTGTCTTCAGATTTCAAAGATAAATGTAAACCTAGACAGAAGGATACCCTTTATTAGGAATGATTCCTAACTAAGCATCTTCTCCAAGGTGTTCTCTGAAGGTTCCCTGTCTACTTTCTCCCTCTGCCTCGACCTTCTTAGCTGGTAGCAGGAATATAGCACTATTTTTAATTTGTTAGAATCATGAGTTACCAGAGGTAACAATTTTTTTCCTTAGTTTGGATTGTTGGTTTTAGTCAGGGAAAACTCTTGAGAAATTTGTCTTGGATTAAATGGACGTGGTTTTGTTAACAATCATTTGTCTGCTTCAGGACTAATTTATACTGCATTTTGTAAGGTAGATGAGTAACATTTGCATCACTTCTTTTATTGTTTATGTAGATAAAGGACCTTAAACAAGAAAATGATCACCTTAATCAAGTGGTCTTATCCCTGAGACAAAGATCTCAAGTGAGCAGTGAGGCAAAAGTAAAAGATATTGAAAAAGAGAACAAGATCCTTCACGAAACAGTTACTGAGACCAGTAGCAAACTGAGCAAGCTGGAATTTGAGAAGAAACAATTGCAAAAGGATTTTGACCAGGTTAAAGAAAAAGTAGAAAGAGTGGAAGAAATGGAAAAGGAGCTCCATCGGCTGGAGAGAGAGAATGAACAGCTCACAAAGAAGGCAGCAGCGATGAAAATAGTGACAGAAAAAGTGGAAGTTCTTGAGCAGGAGAATGGGGATCTGGAAGTGGAAAATAGGAAGCTAAGAAAATCCCTGGACACATTGCAGAATATTTCCATCCGGCTTGGGGACCTGGAAAGGGACAACAAGCAGTTGGATGAAGAAAATCTGGAGCTTAGGAGAGTGGTGGAAACCATGAGATTTACCAGCACGAAAATGGCACAAATAGAAGCAGAAAATAAAGATTTGGAAAGGGAAAAAGAGGACTTAAGAAAGAATGTGGAAATGTTAAAAGCAATGAGCAAGAAATCAGAGAGGCTGGAGCTAAGCTACCAAAGTGTCAACTCTGAAAACCAGAGACTTCAGCAAATTGTGGAGAACAGCAGCAAAAAGATCCAGGACTTAGAAAAAGAAGTACAAGGAATGGAGAGTGAAAATCAGGTCCTTCAGAGAAACCTTGAGGAGCTAAAGATTTCTGCCAAACGGCTAGAGAGGTTAGAAAAGGAGAACAAAGCTCTAGAACAAGAAATGTCTCAGCTTGAGAAAGACAAAAAAATGCTAGAGAAAGAAACAAAGCGGCTTTGGCAGCAAGTGGAGCTGAAAGATGCTATTTTGGATGATAGTACAGTAAAGTTGGCAGTTGCTGAGAAAGAAAACAAGACACTAGAAAAGGAAATTGCTCGATTCAGAGATTCATCTAATAAGCTGAAAGAATTTGAAAAGGACAATAAAGATCTCATAAAGCAAGTTACAATTGATAAAAGAACACTAGCTACATTGAGAGAGGTAAGTGAAATAATACTACTGGTTTCAATACAATGCTATTTTTTATTTCAGCTCTGTGAAGTACCAAAGGGAGACATCTGTCCCATGACTATATAATACACGAGCCAGGAGATCTTCACTGCCTTAACAGCCATCACTAGACAGTATTGCCTTGGAAAGTGGAACCTGCCAAAAACTGCAATGTACTGCTTTGTGTCCACAAACACAATGTCTCCAAATGACATCTTTTTTTCCTACAGAATAGGGTTTTAACAGAGCTCCCATGTGGTAGTTGTAAGCCAAAGACTTTGATACTTTCTCTAACCCTGTGACCACAAAATTGTTTGCCAACATGAGAGCTCCAGCAGAGGAGATTGACTCTTAAGCCTAAAAATTAGAGCACTTGTTGAGGACTCATTAACATCCCTGTTCTAAAACAGAATTAGCTAAGACAAGAACCATCCCAGAAGGTGTACCTACAGTGTTTTTTCCCCAGAAGCTTCCCTGCAGAGTGCGAGCATGCTAAGCAGCTCCGTTGTTAAGCAGCAGCAATCTCTTCCAGCACCCCTTTCCGCTGCCGAATGCAGTAATCATGCTTTTCCTAATGGTGATCTTTCAAAAACACACAATTAGCCGTAGGGCATTCGCAAACTAATGATGTGTATGCCAAAACTGGCACTCTTGTGAGTGGCCTGTGAGCAGATTCAGATTATTGTAACTTGCTCTCCTTGCCTGCCCCAGCTGCTGTTGTCCTGACAGAAACAGGATTTCCCGTGAAAGAGCATTCAAAGCAAAATGGTCAATGCTGCGGTAGCTCAGTGAAATAAATAAGTTTAGCAAGACTAATGCAGTAAGCAATTGCTTACTTGAAGATTTAGTTTTATTTTAGTTTTGAAGCATTAGTGTCATTTTGAGGAGGAAAAAAAGTTTACTGGAAATATTTGAAGCAGTCCTAAGTTGTTTTTTGGTACAACTTTCCTTAAAAATTGGTTGGACTAGATGACCTTTAAGGGTCCCTTCCAACCCAAACTATTCTATGATTCTATAAAAATAAAGAAAATAGTAGCATCTCTGAGACGGCTTCTTTTTAATCTTTCCCTTCTCAGACTTCTGCAAATTTCCAGTGGTGCAGACCCACACAGGAGCGTATCTTCTTTTCCTTAGTTACTTTCTGTAGATTCTACAGCAGGAGTTCATGGATGTTGAAGGGACCCGTTTACAGACCATGGACTGGCACTGACCTTAACCTTACCTGGTTTTCCCTTGCCATGTGAATGAATATGTGGCTAAATTTGTGCTATCGAGGGGCTATTGAATACCTACAGTTTATATTTAACAAATTATTTTTTTAAATTTTATTCTTGCTTCTGTTTGATATCCAAGATATTTTTTTTTCTACTTGAAGTGCTTCAGTAACTTCATTGTTCTTGCTTTGTGCCTTATTTAAGAAAACTTTTGAGCCGAGACATGAGCAATGTATTTCTCTATGGTCCATTTGCATTTCAGAGAATTTTGAATGGTAGGAATCTTTGAACTTAGCTATGCAGCAAAAATGATTTGTCCTTTTTAAACATGCAGACTGGTATTATGTCTCCTCAGGCCATTTCCACACAGACCACTTTACTGGCATAATAGCAAAGCACTGTCCCAATATACCTTCTGGAACAACTCCATCAAGTCTCTTCCTCGTATGACTTCCTTGTCTGGTTCTGCTTAAGTTTCTGTCAAAAAACCTAAATGAAACCAGAACAGGCCAGTAGATACCAGAATAAGTGACCAATCTCTCTAGACCCCAGAGTTGTCTTGTCTCTTACATGACAATGTAATTACACTTTTTTAATTTTGGCAGTAATTTTCGTTATGTCAGAAACTCAGAGTCAGTAGTGAAAATGCACTATTACCAAGTCCCTTGGTAATAACATCTTAACCATGTTATCTCGGGAAACTTTCATACTGAAGTCATGTCTCTCCTCCGTGTGTGCCAGTGTTGGCTGGGGTTTCAGCAGGGTTTTCTGTCCTAGCTGAGAGGTGGGAACTCCCTCTGCTGGTGTCCCCTGACCTGCACACATCCCTTCTGTGGCACAGGGGCAGGATGTCTCCTGGCCCGCACACATTCCCTCTTTTGGCAGGCGGGCAGGATGCCAGTGTTGGCAGAAGTAATTCAGTACAGTGAGCGAGACAAAGGCCCAAAGAAGCATTCTTCAGACTTATTCCAAGTAAACTATAAATAAAAGCAATCAGTTTAATTCTGCACTCAGCTGTCACTGATGAAGAATTTTAGCTGACCTTCTTGGAACTAGGATTTTATCCAATTGCTTTTTCGGTGCTTTTTTAAAAAAAAAATCTATAGTGCTGGATAATTATCACCACCCTTTGCACAGCAACTAATCATGTTAGTGCTTTTACAGGATTTGGTCCTGGAGAAGCTGAAGAGTCAACAGTTGTCTAGTGAGCTGGACAAACTGAGCCAGGAACTGGAGAAGATAGGATTGAACAAAGAGCTGCTGCTACAGGATGACAACGGCAATGACGACACGTAAGGAAACCGAGCTCTCTTACTCAGCCTTTTGACTCTGCAGGCTTTTCCTCAGCCTAACTCAAGCCCTTTGCCTTTCTTTTTTGTTCTCATCTGCCTTGCTCCAATTACCCTTAGCAATTTTCAACATAAAGTGTATTTTTCTGTAGCAAGCTTTGCAGTATACTGCAAGTTTTGAAAAACTTTTTCTTGGATGGAAGGAAGAAATGCCATTTTTTTTTTCTCCATGCTAGCCAGTGTACTACAGTCCCCCTCTACTTCCCCAGTACAGTAGCTGGGTAGCTGTTTCAGTGCATAATCCTCTTCATGTTCTCTTTACAAGAAAGAATAGTGTCTATTAGACAGTGTCTGTCATTACTCCCTGTAATTGGTGATCCGTAACATAGATGTTGCCTAAGAAATTCCTGATTGCAAGGAATTCTTTTGCAAGTCCTATAGTAATGAACAAGAAAACCCCACATCCCCGTGTATATGGGCCTCTTGGTGAGACCTAATTAGAGAAACAAACCGATCTCGTAGGAGTCTTTAACATCTACTGCAGATTTTTCTCATTGTCAAGAATGTACATGAGAAGAAATTTCTGTCATGTCATTAGTGGAAAATTAAAAAAAAATGTTTTAAGTTATGTAGCTCTTAGGTATTTCTGTAGAAACATGCTGGAGTTACCTCTATTAAAATTGATGGGATTTTCCAAAAGCAGGTTTCCCAGCTACAGTATATCAGTAGCTATCTGCAGCAGTAGAGGAAATAACTTTCTTGAAGAAGAAACGTGTAATGTAACATGTGCTGAGATTTGGAATGGGTTGAAGGTGAAGTCTCCTGTATAGATGGTGCTCATATCCTAGTGGCAGACACTGGAAAGCTATTCTCCTGTCTTTCAGAAAATACAAGATTCTGGAGAGCAAGACTGAATCGGCACTAAAAACAACACTAGCTGTGAAAGAGGAAAAGATTGCAATGCTGGAAGCTCAAGTGAAAGACTCTCTGAACTTGAACCAGCAGTTACAGAATGATCTAAATGTGGTAAGAGGTTAACTGTATTTTAATTGTTGATGATGTGGTTCTGCATGTTCACATGTGGTTGATTGGGGTTTTTTTGTTGTTGGGGGTTTGGGGGTTGGCTTTTCTTTTTTTCACTCAGCAAGAACATGTTATCTCTACTTCCCCCTCCAGCCCCCATGTACAAGTACTTCCCCCAAACCTTTTTGACTGGACTGCTTTCTCTTGTCCCTTTCTATATAATGGCACCAATTTCAGCAAAATTGTTGGGCTGGGGGCACGGCAGGATTTTTTTTTACGTAACCACTATTTGCAATCTCATGTTTTTTTCATTGTCATGGTGGTGGTGTTCTGCCTTGTTGTATAAAAGCATAGGCGGGGGAAGACTGCAGTTGAAACATGTCACTTAAGAACAGCGTGTTTGTTAGGTGACACTGAGCTTGAGTCAAAGGGCACCTGACTGGAAGCCCAGAGACATGGATTCCTCCGCCTGTCTGTGTCTCCGCTTCCCCATCTGTGAAGTGAGGGTAATGGTTCTTCAATCCCTTGAAGTTCCTACAGTGCAAGAGGAGAACGGCATATCCCATCATTATTCATACCAAATCCCACTGTTAAATCAGTGTTGAAGGTTGTTGCTTGTTGGCTTTGCAGGTGAAGAAGGACTTTGATGCACTTAAGCAGTCTCACCAAGATGGGCAGTATGCTCAGAAGTCACTGAGGTATTCTGCAGAGAAACTCATTCCCAACCACCAAATGAATGAGAAATTGGAAACGGGACACCGAGAAGCTACCATGGAGCTGCTGAAACTGAAAGACAGGGCAATTGAACTGGAAAGGAATGTAAGCCTTGTCCTTCTATTTTCTGTTATCCCTCAGACTTCTTTTGCAGTCATGAGTGCGTTTCTGGCAACTGGATTTTTGAGCTTACAGGAATCTAGTGGGTTTTCTGGAGCACATAAGTCTAGCAAATTCCTCAGGTATCTCTTCGGACTGCATGGGAGTTTAATGCTATATAAGTCTTGTATAACATCACGGCAGGGATTAATCCTGTGTATAACATCTGTCCTACCTTCATTTAATGCAGGGAGGAGTTTGCTTTTGCACATTTGTTGCAGAATGATCATCACCAATTGGTTCTCATTTTTGATAGGACTCCAAATGATCAGGACAGCTGTTTCGTTTCTTCCTGTCACCCCTTCAATGCCATCTCTCTTTCAGAATGCAGCGCTGCATACTGAGAAGCAGCTGCTTAAAGAACAGCTGAAGCATTTGGAAACACAGAATGTCTCCTTCAACAATCAGATCCTGACACTACAGAAGCAGAATGTCTTCCTTCAGGAGCACAATACTGCCCTGCAGACGCAGACGGCCAAACTCCAGGTCAGGACAGCCTTACACCTCTGTGCCAGCAGACTGGATTTGATTATAGTAATGTGGAGAAGATGATGGCTAATAAGAAAAAAGTTTGTATTGGTAGGGTGATGCAAAGATGAAGCCCATAAGGTGGAGCTTAGTTTGAGGTCTGAATTTCTGCATGCTAGGGGGGGAATTGGCTCTGTAGCTAATGTCTGGTACCTATCTTCGTTAAGGTAGTTATTTAGATGAAGAAGAAATTCTTGGGACAAATGGGAAGAGGGCACAAGTCAGCTCCCAAGAGGGATTGTTTAATGGGTTCCAGCAACAATTTTCACACTTTTGGACAAAATGCCAAAGTCGCTGATGGAAAACAGATACTCTTAAATGTTACTTTAATTTTGAAAAATAGACTTAGCTTGAGAAAGAGAACAGTTTTAAAGGACAACATTGGATTAGCTCTAATTTTTTTTGGTGGGAATTTTCCTTTTCAAGCTTTTCCTCTCGCATGTTCACGGATAATTGTTCTTGTTCTCTTTACTTATTTCTCACCTGCAATTGAAGTATATAAGCAACATATAAAATGAATGCGCTACCTATCTACTGAAATCAGACTTGTTAGGAGTGCTGCCCCCATACAGTTAATGGTACAGTTAATTTTGTTGAGTTTGGGTGAACTTAAGTTTTCATTACTTGTACACAAACATGGGGTAACTTTGCCTTTGTACACGATTGTCAGAGATACAGCCGAGTTGCGAGTATTCCAGCTCGTCTTGGTCTTCAGGCTGAAGAACTTCTGCTAGTAAAGCAGTGTTGTTTCAGTTTGGAGTTATCCTGATCCTTTTCAGACCACTGATAGCATGGCATTTTAAGGTGCATATTACCAGCAATACCAAAATGATGCCAAATTTCCATAAATTTCTTAAGTCTCCAAAGCAATGGATGCATTCTTGATTAACTCTGTCCAGATACAAGCTGCTACATGTTTGTTGTAGGTACCAGTAGGTGTAAATAAGTAATGGTTGCTTTTTATTTGAGAAACTTTAGGTAGAAAATTCAACCCTCAGCTCCCAGAGTGCTTCACTGATGGCCCAGAATGCTTTACTCCAAAATCAGCAGACAGCCAAGGAGAATGAGAATGAAAATCTACTGAAACAGAAGGAGCAGCTGAAAGCTGAGTATGAGTCACTGCTTCAGGACCACGAACACCTTGCTTCACTGCATGAACGGCAGTCCACAGAATATGAAATGCTAATAAACCAGCACAGCTGCCTGAAAACGTTGCACAAAAACCTGGATCTGGAGCACAAAGGTCTGGGTGAGAGGTACGCTCACTGCTCAGGGGTGTAGTGTAGCCGCAATGTGCCCGTGTTACAATCTTAGCCTTAAATCTTGGTCTCCAATTACAAACGGAAACTACTGAGTAAGTTGTTCCCCTGAAAAAGTGTCTTCTTATTCTTGCTATCATTAGGAGATTAGACAAAAATATTCGCAAGATTTTAGACCTCCAAAGGTGACAAATCACAGGTGACTCTGGTCATATTTAGCAAACATGGGCTTGGGTCTTGGGGATGCTTTGTCAGGAGTAGCTTAAAAGTCTTTACTACATCTGTGCTACAATAACATGCAGCCTTGAAAAGATTCTCCCAGTTCTGCTGTGTGGGGTATGTTCTTGCAAACCTTTTCAGTAAGGTTTGCAAGTCACCTAGGTGATTACCTGTGCGTGAGTAGTATGTATCTTGAGAAATTTAAATCATTGAAAATTGTGGCATCAACCTCATGACCAAGGAGGCTCTCTGAAGGAAGCCATATTGAGCTAGCTATGAGATTGTGAGAACTAGAAGAAAAGAAATGATACAACACTATCTAAGGCTTTTGCTTCAGGCTCTTCAGATTAATTGTGAAATCAACGTTACCTGTTTATTCTTTAGTCTCTAATCACTGTCATTTTCTGGCAATTGTGTGTGGATCGAACAATCTATATAATGTACTACTACATAAATGCTACTCTGCCTACCTCTCAAAACTTTTTTTACACAATTTGGTGATTTTCCTCAAAATACCTGTATTTAGGTTCAGTGTCTGTGCAAGACCATGAGTTGGGTTCAGAGCAACTCAGTGGTGACCTTTGACGGTGGACTACAAGCTGCTGCTAGACTTTTCTTTCCCAAAGACTGAGGAGCTGGCAATACAATGTGTGGTAGATTTTGATAAAATACAGAAATAAACCTATTGTGATTAAAATATGCACCAGGGTTGTGTGACAGGACAGCTGCCTGGCTGCCAACTAAATGAGCTGTAAGTGATTACGCAGCCGCTGCTCCTGCTTACCACATCTCTCTGACTGATTAATGGTTCTCATTGATTCAGGCTTTGCTTGAGATTATCACGTTGTGGTGTGTTGAGGCAGTTTGCTGGGTTCTTTCTTTTCCTGATGAGTTCCAATTATTAAACTGTTCTAGCCTAAGGAAAAAGTAGTTTTCTAAAAATAGGTTATCTCTAGTGATAAGTGCTCAGATCACCATTGTAAACATTAACCATTTGGACTGTCTGATACCGAGATGTGACTGCCAGTCCGAGATGTTGCAGGGGAGCAGATGGTGGCCTTTTCTATACTCAAAGCAGGTTGATTTTTGGCAGTGTTAAGAGCGCAGTGTCCTCCTCAGCAGATCAGTCTCAAAAGATACTTATCAAGGTGATTTGTCAAAGGACAGCCTGTGTCTCCTTTTGGCTGTCAGAAAAAAGAGACAAGCCACCATTTTTGTGTTTTGTTTTCCCTCCATCACGTGCTATGTGCCGTTCAGCTGGCTGAGGGAGCGGAGGAGCGACAGTTAGAAAAAGAGTTCTAAGAAAACTGTTTTTTTCTGCCACTCTGAGGCATTTAACTGCTAAGATGAAATATCTCACTTTCAACTTCACCTAGAACGCACCACCTGCTAAATTTCCCCAGAGCAGCTCAGTGCAGCCAAGATGTTTGCCTCTGCAGTGTCTAAGAGATGGGGTTTGCTTGTCCCAACTTCAGGTAATTGTTTTTACTCATTTGGTGACAGCACTATAATCACACTTTTGTTGCTTAAGGCAGGATCGCACTCCTGCACAAACCGATGGCTGCAGATCATCTAGGAAAATCCACAGCAACTTTAGTTAGCTCGCGGTCTCCTACCACTGTACAGCCAAGGTCTCCAAGGTTTGCGTAGTTCGCTCTGATGTGTTCTAACCACAGAGTATTTTCTGCACCTGAGCAAACTTCATTAAACCTCCCTGGGCTCTGTCTGCACAGTATTAGCACTGCAGTGGGGATTTAATAATGGGCCGTGTGTAACTGCAGTGAAATGGCCTGTCATAGCCCAGCAAACCACAGGCATGTGGGTTTGACTCAGCAAGAGAAGGAGAGTGTAGTATGTTAGGACCGTTTACCATTAATAGCAGTTTCTTGACTTTGCAGTGTTTGGCTGACTGTCTCAGAGAACACAGAAAGGCTGGACTCTTTTGCTGCATTTTTTAAAATGCTTTACATATTGCACATTACTGAGGGGGGGTAATAACTTACTAGCTACAATTGATTAGCAGATCCTTGAGCATTTTTTTGTGGCTTACTCTGGAAAAGTCTAATCCTGCAGAGACACTGGAAGAACTCATCTTACTGGAAAAACAGAATCCCTGCTGTGGAGGGTGTCGTGGTTTAACCCCAGCCAGCAACTAGGACCAGGTAGCTGCTTGCTCACTTCTTCTCCCCTGCAGTGGGACGCGGGGAAAAATGAGGAAAACTCGTGTATTGAGATAAAGACTTTAGTAGAGACTTATTAAAAATAAGCAAAGCAAAAGCTGTGCACGCAAGCAAAGCGAAACAAGGAATTAAGTCACTGCTTCCCATGGGCAGGCAGGTAGTCAGTCAGCTCCAGGAAAGCAGGGCTCCATCACGCGTAACTGTTACGTGGAAAGACAAAATGCCATAACTCCGAACGTCCCCCCTTCCTCCTACTTCGCCCGGCTTTATGTGCTGACATGTCGTCACATGTGCTGACATGACGTCACATGGTATGGAATATCCCTTTGGTCAGCTGGGGTCAGCTGTCCTGGCTGTGTCCCCTCCCAGCTTGTCGTGCATCCCCAGCCCACTCGCTGGCGGGGTGGTGCGAGGAGCAGAAAAGGCCTTGACTGCTTATCAGCAACTAAAATCATTAGTGTGTTATCAACATTATTCTCATCCTAAATCCAAAACAGCACTAGTGAGAAAGTTAACTCTATCCCAGCCGTAAAGCAGGACAGAGGGTTACATATTGCAGGAACTCGTATTATTGTGTTTCCAGTCATGGCTGGTGATTAGTTTTCCGAGTTCCTTTTGCCACATGCTTTTTATCACAGCTGAGCATTTGTAAAGTTCTCTCAGTTACAAATACCTACCCACAGTATTTCTCCTAACAAAGCAGCAGAAAGAGTGAAAGCCAAAAGGAGTAGAGAGGAATATGATTGTTCAATCCCAGGAATGGATTGTGTCAGAGCCAAAATGGATTTTATTTGCATGTATGAGAATTTTTTTTAAAAAAAAACAACAAAACTCCTCTGTCCAAATGCCTGATGCTTAAAGAGGTGGTGTGAACGTGAGTGTTGAGTAGCCTACAGGATGGGTAACCTTGCCCCTGGTGGTAGAGCTTGTCAGGTTGCACAAATCCTGCTCAACTGGTAGACTCCGTGCTGAATCTGAACTGCAAGAAAATTTTTCCTGGGGATTTCATTAGGGCTCCAGAGATGCAGAATTACTTTCATTTTTGTACACGGTCTCTTCTTTCTTACCTTTTACCTAATATCTAGGGGAGCGGCTGTGGAGTTCTCATTCTCACAGGCAGCATGTGGAACTGGGCCAAGCTGGTAAGACTGGAGCAGTATACTGCTTCCCTCTAAGTAGCCCTCTTTAAAAAATAGAGGGCTTGGATAAAAATGAACAGAGTAGCCCTATCATACAGAAATGGCAAAAGGATTCACAACACAGTTTCTGCAGAGGCAGCCATGGTAATCTCTGCCAAGGCACTGACTGTGGGGTTTGTCTTCTCAGACTCTGGATTGGCATGCAGTCTGTCTTAAATCCTTCTTGGAGCTGGATGTGAAACCTTCTTCTGCTTTCAGGTTCTTCCATTTGTTGTACGGACATTGAATTTGAAATGTCCTGGAGCTGAATGGAGGAAGAAAACAAATAAATAAGGTTAATTAAACGCCACTGCTGTTACTGGTAATGAATAGCCAAAAGCAGCTTTTGTCTGGGAGACAGGTACTTTTCTGTGTGGCCCTTCAATGGGCTGGAATTTGGGACAGGCTGTAATTTGACCCTGGGATGAAGGGAATGGTAGCCTGAAAGAAAACCAAGTTGGCAGGAGTCGCTGTATTTGGTGCTGTCTGCTGCTTTTGTTTTTGTTTTGAAGTTTTTGTGACTGCAGAGTAACTGTGCTCTGCATTCATCTCTGCTGGCATGAAAGCCGCAGATAGATGATGTTTGTTCTCTCCAGGTTTTTCAAGCAATGCTGCATCTTCCACCTAGTTGCTGTTTCAAAATTGCTCAGAAGGATGTTTCTCCATGACTGGCACAGGTTATCTATCTGCCCAGGGATATTTTGGGGCGATACCCTTTTATCACAGTCACAGAAAAACATGCTGATGACTTCTGGCATTCACTGCACCAGTGTCCCCAGTGGCTTCTGCTGGTGTGTGTGTGTATGGGCACAGACTCTGACAGAGGCCAACAGAGGAAAAAACTAATAATCTTCTGAGAACAGCTCGCTGTTCTGCAAAGTGGTCTGAAGCCACCTGGTTCTTCGCAGTGTTTTCCCAATGCAGGCGGTGTAGCATCTCGGGGAGGCTGAGCCTGCCTCATCAAGGCCTGTGCCAAGTATCAGGGGAGTTGTTCCACTCCTCTGTTATTTGTCGAAATTAAAGACATAGTTGATGGCATCTGCCCCCCCCGCCTTGAATGATTTATGCATAAATTGTATAAACCGAGTAACAGTGGAAGCCTGGACGTGAACACCGGTGTTCCTCTTGGGTTTCTCACTAGAGAACAATAGAGTCACTCCAGCAGGTGGCTCAGCCCCTGCTTAAAGGTGTTCTGCTGTCAGCTCACTGATATTAGCCTCAGCGTCTGCCTGGGATACGCAGGAGATTATTACCTGTGTATGTAACCTAATACGCATTAGGTTGTTATCTAATAAACTGTTGCTCATTCCACTGCTTTCCTGTTGCTTTTTGGCTGCTGCTTTCTGCTTTTTAGTCAGGTTTTTGAAACCTGCCACCGACAATTATTTGTGAATGGGATTCCAGTTTAATGGCGCAGTTTCCACTCTCCCTGGAGACTCGCATGCTTTTTACCAAATGGTCAGAATCTGGAATTGAAATAAGACTCTAGCAATTGCATTCCAGTTTGCTTAAAAAATGCATTTTTTTTTTTTTTTCCTAAAAGCCTACCTGTTGACTTATGGACTAAGCTAAATTTCCACGCATAGTGTGGAATTCTTCAGCCTTGGTACATGTTTAACCGCACAAATGTGTATGAAACTAAGCAGGCAGGAAAAAAAATCCTTTCTGGTCATTGTGGTTTTGCCTATTAACAATCTTAAACTAGAAGAGGAAAAATGATTAAATGAAAGATGAGACTATACCGCTACTTTTTTTGCAGATACAACAGTTTAATGAAACACAAGGCAGAATTGGAAGAGTTGGAAATAGTTTTAAAAACTGAGAGAGAGGTTCTGCAACAAGAGAGGAGATCAAATGCAATAACCACTGGGGAAAACCAGAAGCTGAGGGAGGAACTGGACAGGTATGGTTCCCTTGCTATATTCTTGTATATATCAGCAAAAAGGCCTTTATGCAAAACACACAGTTGTTTTGCTGTATTAACTATAGCTCCAGAATACCTTCATTAATGTGCCTGTTAATTTTTCTCAATTTCTGTCTTGTTAATTTGATCGTTCTGTTTAATTCATTAAAGATTATCTGCTTCATGGACACTGTCAAATACTGGGTTTTGGTGCTTCAAACATGGTCTGATCCCGGGGCTTTTCCTTAGTCAAAATAAACTTCCACATGTGATTTCACAAGTGTTTCTGTAATGAGTTGTTTCCAAGCACTTGTCTTTAAGTAGAACTACAAATTCCCCAAACCCCCAATAATATCTAGAGTTACGTGAAGTGGTTCCTACCCATTTTTTTTTCGCTTGAGGAGAACTGTATTATGTTCTTTACACCATATGATTTAGTTCTAGGAGTTACCATTGCTGTTTATTTTCTGCTGCCCAGGGAAAGCTGCCGTTTGTTAATAACTGAAGAGAGACCTGATTCTTGTTATTAAAAGCGGCTTAGTGATTCATAGGATCACTGGGTACCTGTTAACTCATGTCAAAACCCCTTTTGTGAGCCAGCATCCAAACTTCACATAACGCTGCAGAAAAATGCACCCTCCCCCCAACCTGTACCCCTGCTGGGCTCTCTCCATTATAACCAGTTCAGTGCCACTGTTCATACTGCAAAGGCGTTTTGAGAAAGAGTTTGGTACAAATAAGGGGCCAAGGTAATATCAAGTTAAAGCAATGTCAGATTGAATCATATTTAAAAATCACGTCTTAAGTTCGGTCATGAAAGTTTCATGTACTGTCCCAATTGTAGTGTACTTTAGAACACTGCAGAGCTCCGCAAAGGAGGTTTCCTCAAGCTTACTGTTTTCAACTCGGTTTTTCCAGGGGCAAAGGAAGATGTTTCAAAATGTTGATTGCGATGCTGGCAGAGAGCAAGGCTTAGCTGATCTGTCAGCAGATACAGAACTCTATCTTTTTTATGTATCTATTTATTTAATTTTATGCCATCATGATTTGTAGACACCTTTAGATTTACCAAAAACTATAAAGGATCATCTTACAACATTGCAGTGTCTCACAGGACACTTCAATGCTTATATTTCATGCATCAGGAAAAAAAATTCTGTGTTCATTTGTGCCAAAGAGAGCTGCCTTTATATCCAAATGCTCTTAAATACTCTGTGCCTCAGAAATTTGTGGTGTGTTTCTTACATGTTGAGGAAAGAGCAGTTTTATGTTTCATCTATTTTCCTTTCCATTCTTTTGTAGATCTGAAATATTTTATAATGCTATTGCTACTTTCCTAATAGAATTTTATTATATGCTTAGAATAAAAATGTTTTTATGAGTTAGTCTTTGGAACTTAGTGTTTGATTTAGTGACAGCTGCACAACGATGGCGTGGTCTTTGAATGTGAGGTACTTTCTATGATGTGTACTTCATAAGCCTGCTGGCTTCTTCGTGTTTAGGGTGAATTTCTTGCACAACCAACTAAAGGCAGAGTACGAAGGGCTGCATTCACACACTAAAGAGCTGAAAACTTCCTTGAACAACTCTCAGCTGGAGCTGAATCGTTGGCAGGCTCGCTACGATGAGCTGAAAGAACAGCACCAGTCCATGGATATTTCTCTGACCAAGCTGGATAACCACTGTGAGGTGAGTAGCTATAGGTAGGAATACTGCTGGGCTCCTGTTAGAGTGCCAGCGTTCATTGTGTGAAGCTTTTGGCATGCTATATACAGGTCAAGCTATGTGATCATAACAACACCTCTGTATACTTTGAAGTTTATCAATTCGTATCATAGGTGGCTGTGCTGTTGTGTTAGTTTGATTGTGGTGCGCTTCCAGGGAAGCCAGATGCAGAGGAGAGATTAATCTGTCTTGTTTAATAGCTGCTGTCCCGTCTAAAGGGAAATCTGGAAGAAGAAAACCATCATCTCCTGAGTCAGATTCAGATGCTGAGCCAGCAGAATCAGATGTTACTGGAGCAGAACATGGAGAACAAGGAGCAGTACCATGAAGAACAGAAACAGTACATGTAAGATACTAGAGGTTTTAATTGTGAAACCTAAAAAAATCATATAGACAAACATAGAATACAAATCATCTATCGGGAGTAGAAGGACAGGTAGGGCAATGATAGGTCTGATTGATATCTGGCTAGAAAAGGGGATGTTTAGGAGGAGATACGTGTAATGGGGAGAAGCTTCAAAATTTCTTCGCATTGCCTTACCGCAAAGGAATGTTCAGGAGACACATGGACAAGCACAGCTCTTTTCAAATAATACACATGAACCCATGTGGAAAACTTAGTTATAAAAGATGGAATGCTAAACCCAGTGATACTTCTCAAAGGTTACTGAAGAGCTCGGAAAACATCTGAGTTGCAACAAAAATTTAATCTTATGAAAGTAATTTTATATTTAGATTCCTGAAGAATAGCAAATATTCATACTCCTCTAGCTTTTGTCATTTGCATTATAAGAAATACTTCCTTTGATGTTGTTTTTAAGGATGCAAGTGTCAGCATACGTCGCTGCGTCCCCCATGCACAGGGTGACATGCTTAAGTGAGATACCCTGTTTAAACATATTGTACATTTACAAAGAATCCTGTTCACTGCAGTGAATTTCTCTTACAGGTATGAAAGAAGGAAGAAAAATGTTCTAATCCCAAGAATTCTAGTCTAAGCACCTCATGATGATGTGGGAGTTACTGAGTTTTATTTCAGTACTGGATTATGTGATTGAAATGCTAGAAATTGTTTGCTGAAATTGGCTGAATACAGTTCAAATGTACTCAATGCATGTTTATCCAGGTGTCTGACAGTTCTGTGATGGAGGTACATTAGACCTATTACTACTTGGATGAAAAAAGATTTGCACTGTGCAGGTTAATAAAATAATGAGTAAAGAAACAGTAAGTTGACACGGCAGTGCTGAAAGTGCTTTGACATTGCTTGCAGGAGACCAAAGTAGTATTTAAAAGATTGAACATTATTTATTTCTCTAGTTACAACAGACTAAGCAGAATAAAATATCCAGTTATCGTGTAGACAAGAAGTTCAAACTATGTAAGGATCTTGACCCTTGAGTAATTGTCAGTGTTCTGTGAATAAGACTGAACAATCAGCAAGCGAATTTCTAAAAAACAAAATAAGATTAATCTTAACACCTGCCTGAGTTGTTAGTGAATAACCTAGCACGAGTCTACTGTTGTTCTTTCACTTTTCATGCTTATTGCACAAAAATCATCCATCAGCAAGTTTGGTGGGCTTTTGCATTTTCCCTTTCTAAACAGACAATGAATGAGCTCAGTAGGATTCTGAAGGTTATGTGATAAGAAGATATTTCCGTCTTCTTCCTCTCTTGGTGGCTTTTCGTCTTCAGTTTTTTGATTATGCTTAATTTCGTACAGATGGTTCAGAATGTGCTTTTGCCCCTCACAGTGATAAATTGAATGCCTTAAGGAGACACAAGGAAAAACTTGAAGAGAAGATAATGGATCAGTACAAGTTTTATGATCCTACTCCAAAAAAGTAAGTCCCATATGGGTTCAGTTCTATTGTACAGATTTTTGAGGGCAAGAAAGGGCTCTCCAGAACTGAAAATAACGAAAGTTTCATCTGAAATAAGGACAGTGTCATCTCCAGTTCCCTCCTCACTTTCACTCCACAACCCATTCCCTGAAGCAGCAGGTTATGTTAATGTAGAGCACAATACCTCATGTGGGGCCCTCTGTTTTAATACAGGAATCTGAAACAGTATTAATTGGAGAAGCGCTGCTTTGCCCTGATGTATACCGTCTTGTCCCTAGCAGGGTGGAGGGACCCCCAATATGGTGACTAAGCAGCAGTAGAAGTTTCCAGAGCTGCTCTTTCAAGGAGGATAAGCAGTCCATCAGAGAGAAACGACTTAAAAAATTATATTAAGAGCAACTAAGAGCTAAGCTAATTCCACCACACGTAGTTCTGCTAGCCTTAGCAAAAAGAGGGATTCATCTTTAAAGCTGTTTTAATTTGTTTCCTTCTCAGTCTATTCTTGTAGTAGAGCTTTTCACACTGTTAAAATGTCTTGTGTGCGTCCATATGTGTAGTTTAGATTTCTAGCAGAGGGAACGGTTGTCTTTCTCACATTTCTCATGCTGCAGAAATATTTCTGTAAAATAATTTTGACTTTGGGAGAGAAATGGATCTCAAGATCTGTGAAATTCATGCAGCATCTTTCTAACCAATTCGTGACAGTAAACAAATAAGAATGTAGGGTGGCTTTGATGGCTTTAGCGCAGCTGTAAACTTCTTCAGGGAGTATTTCTTGTAGTGTTTTATGAATTCCATTCACAAAACCTGCTTTATCAGGAAAAACCACTGGATTGGAGCCAGAGCCTTAGTCAAACTAATCAAGCCAAAGAAGGAGACTACAAGGGAGCGGTTGAAACCAGCAGCAGAAAGCCCTCCATGGCATTCTGAATCCCCAGAGACGGTAAATTCTCCATCTGCCTCCCAAAAACTTAAACATCAACAAGAGACTCAGGATAATACCTCTCAAGGATCAAACTCTATGGAAGAGAGAGAGAACCCTGGGGGTTCTTCAAATAAAGGTGAGGAATACTCAGCCTCAATTTGTGAGCTGAACAGTATTTTATGAAAAAATTTTAAAAAGGTCTAATATATAGGATATATTGATACTCTATCACATTATGGTTTATATCGCCTTTTTAGTGAACTAAAAATTTTAGTAAGCCAAAAACCCCTAAACTAAAAAGCTGAGTAAACTAAAAGGTATGGGGTTTTGTGTTTTGTTTTAGTTTAGTTTGTTCCTTTTATCTCCTACTTCTCCCTTCAGGTTTTGTATATATTTTCTTGGTTTGCCTGAATGTATTGCATGTTACTTAATAAGTTGGTGGAAATGCTTCATATACTGGGGTTTTGCAACAAAGCAGCTTAAAGTTGGACCATATAATATGGTTCATAAGCAACCCTTCTTCACATAGGTAATAGCTGGTCTTACAGCCAACGCCAGGAGATGGCGCACATGCAGAAGAAATAACATAAAAAATGCTAATTTATTGTAATCTAATTATTTTGGAGGATGATACCGTGTTTTGACTTTGAATCAAACTAAAAATTACTTAATGTAAATTGCTGAAATGATTTTTTGAACACTCCAAGGCAAACGTAAGGAAAATGGAATGATTTCGTTTTCTGTTTAGTTAGTTCACACAGTAACTCAGGTGCTCTTAATTATGGCAAATTTAAAAGAAAGCTCCTCAAAATAAATACTCTGTGATCTTTATTAAAGGTAATATATATCCCAAGCTTTGCTTACTGTCTTGAGATTACTTCTCTCAGCTTCTATATATAGATCATTGTCCTCCAGGAATACTTTCCAAGAAGCAGTTTTGAAATTAGTCCTTAAATAATAATTCCTGTCTTCCCACTGGGGAGTGTGGGAGACGGAAGGGGAGCAGCTGAGGAGGGTAGAACCATGGTTATAAACTACCGCAAGGGTCTGTCTCGCCAAAGTATTTGTTTTGATTGGGTTTTATGTTTCCCTTTCTCCATTCTAATGCTTCAAGGTCATTGATTCATGTAAAGTAAAAATGCGTATCTCGGATCATCCATGTGATTCCAGGAGATGTTAAGTGTTTAACATGCATCCAAAGTTCAACCTGGGAATTTGGGCTTGGGTTTCCACAGAACAAGGCCCTTGCGGAGTCCCAGAGATAACAGAAAGTCTCTGGGGCTTCATTCTTTTTGATGTTATATGAAACATGCTTATGTTGAGATGATGTGCATCAGTATTAAAGCCTAGAAGACATCTAGGAAATTTGAGTGTATTATCACCAAGTAACATGCACACCTATTTGATTTTATTAAGTAAAAATGTTTTGGGTAATCTAAGAGTAATTTCTTAATGGTCTTGCTTATATTTTACGTATATAAGTTAATCAGTGCGTTAATCTGAGTCAGATTAACTATGATTAACTATGCATTAGTCAGTCCTCCAAATACATGTGTTAGTCTTTGTTTAGACTTTTTCGTTTTTACTAGCTGTGTAGTCTTTAATCTGTTTTAAGACACTTAATTTACAACGGTTACTTTATTTACAAGGGTTTTTTTACTTTTTTTTTTTCTTCTTCTTTTTGGGATACCTGGGTGATAACAATTTAGCTGCGCAGCGCAAAAAGATTACCTTTTTGAGAAGCAAAATCAAGGATAAAGAAAAGTCTCCTAAGTCTCCATCGAATCATCAGTCTCTCTCTAATCGGCTCCGGTTCTGGTCTTCTTCCGACATCCCATCCTCTCCTAATGAACCTCTTTCTTTCCCGGAATTGGGAGATTTCTAACACCTTCTCTTTAGCATTTATCCTCATTTATTTCTGATAAATATTTTAAACCAAAAAAACCCAACCCAACAACTCACATGCCTTAAAAGAACACACACCTTGATAGAAACACTCAGCATTGTCTTTACAATACCCTAAATACAAGCACAGATTAGTGAACGTGGACTTAAGTTTTCCTGTAGAAGATGAATCACTATTGCACACTGTGGATCATTTCTTCAATGCAGCACATTTTTAGGGGACCTCATGGCATACAGTTTGCGTATGTATATTGGCTGTGGTGCATGTTCTAAGTAAGTGAAGTTGCTATGCGCTTCCATATTTTCTTGCAATCACATACTTGCATTGTGTCCAGTTAAAGTGTTGAACTGATTTGCTGTTGCTCTGCTTTCTACAATGTTGTAGTCCTACTAAAATACAGATCTAATGTAAAGGAGTCTCAGATCCTGGAGATTTTTCCAATAGTCTGTGCCACTAAATGCTAAAAATGGCATTTTTTTTTAACATCTATGCTTTTAAATAGTCTAGCTTTGAATATAGAGTGGAAGCTACTAATTACTCTCCGCAAAGCGTCTTGACGTTTGCATTCAAAGCTGCTGTTTAGCAAGGTTTCACACTTCCAGCTATGAAAATCCATCTTGAATTGTGCTAAAGTTGCAGTTTCTGCTGCTTCCGTTTTTTTGGAAGATTTTTTTTTGGAAGAAGAAAGTAGATTTGTTCTCTTAAGATTAGCAATAACTTTCTTCATGGATCCATTGCCCAGAATTCTTATTGCCTGACAGTCACAATCTGGTGGCTTCTGAGATGAACGTGTGGGTCCAGTCCCCACTCTGTGTTAGAGAGACGTATGCAGCACAGGCAGTATGCTACAGGGAGCTCAGCAGAGAGGCCGAAAGATCTCATCTCCCCTCTCACTCTGAGAAGTGGTCACTCTGTGGCACAACCAAGGACAAGCCCGTTGCTGCCCATTTTGGCATTTGTAGAGAACATTTGTCTCCAGGGCAATTAATAATTCTGGCATCTACGGAAGGTGTTAAGAGCATCTACAAAGTCAATTAGAAATACAGATTTGCATGGCAAGTTTTAGCCAGTAATTGCCCCTACAGGCATGCCACAACTTCAGTTCTGAGAGAAACTGCCAGCCCTGTGCTATGGACTGCACGCAGATTTGGGGGGGAAAGCATTGTTTCTGAAGTCAGCTTCCAGGAGTCGTCTAAGATGACAGTAACTCGGTCCATTTCTCTAACACAGCTTTGCTGCTGCTCTGTGCTTTGAACTGTCTGTCCATTGTCTCTGCAAGTTGTTTGTTCACTCTGCTGTGTTTTCAGCATTTAATTACTATTAGTTAAGCAAGTACTCCATAGAAATATATAGAAAACTAGAATCTTGCATCTCATTAAGGGTGTTTCCTATACTAAATTCTTTAAAATTTGTTCTATTTTATGTGTGCCTTAGAGCGTTACATTCACATTACAAGAAATGAATTAACCTACCTCACCACTAGGAAAGATGTCTTCAGGCTTCTGAATCTAAACAATATTCTAGCAGGTAGTTTTTGTTGTTCTCATGCTAAGATCCCACAAATTCCACTTAAAAGTCATCGCACCAGAGCATCATGAGAGCAGCAGAGTTTTAGCCTTGTAGAAACTGAGCTCTTACCACAGCAAAGATCTAAACCTGAAAGCAATTAGCTTAGTGTGCAGATCATGCTACATGATTTCCAAATCAGCATTATTTCTTTTTGAATAAGAGCGTGACTTCTGTCAGTCTGTCCTTATTTTATTTTATCACTGAAGCAAATGCTTATAAAATGTACCTGCAAGGAATAATGTTACGAGACTTTCACACCTCACTTATCTTTTCTGCATTCATGTCTTTGTTCCTGTTCTTCCTCCTTTCATGATAATTGTTGCACGTATAATACCACCCCTCCCACTGGCACTAAGCAGCCCTTGTAAGTCCACACGTTACAGAGAGCACACGATTGACAAACTGGTAGCAGAGATTTCCTATCCAATACTGAACTGTTTATGGAAAAGCTTGCAAAACTAGCGCCTCTGTTGTGCAGTTTCTTTGTGCCTGCTTGTCATGTTTGTACGGGCAGATAAATACAAATCTCCTAATGCTATTTTTCACTGACTTGTATTTATTTACCTCTCTCCTCCTCAGTGCTAATGGACTTAAAGCAAAAGAGGAATTCCCATCACGGAGGCAGCAATGATAATGTTGAAATCTCAGCAGACTCTGCGACAAAACACTGCTGTACGGAGCTGGGTCTCAGGACTTACTCGACCTCGGCTATTCATCTGCACACTTCCACCCCCATCGCCAGGCTCCAGGGCAGACCAAAAGGTGCGCGCTGCATTCCATACACCAGCTGTTAGTACAAGTCAGGCTACTTCGTAGTTCCTGCTTAGCTGAAACGTGGCTTCTGGTGGCATTCAAGTACAAAACCAGAGCACTAGTAGTTTCATTCTTACTTTATCTGGTTTAATTGATCAGATACAGGGTTTCTTTACTCTTGGAATGTCATCAACTGGACAGACCGCATGTGGATGTCAGTTCTCCTGTGGTTCCCAGCCCAGTGGTTCACAGCAGTGATGAGTAGCTGGCTGCTCTTCCAATGTTGGCTCTATAAAACCCTCTTGATCACCTCAGTCTTTTACACTGCTAGAATGCATCGGAGACTGACCTGAAGGATTAACCTTCCTGTTTAATATTCCCTTTCAAGTTTTCTGTTCTTTTCAGGCTACAATTCAGAGGATAATCTATGTGAACAGTCCCCTGAGGTAGAGTTTGCAAACACCAGACAGCACGGTAAGCTTGTAGAGTATACAACTGCTCCAAACCTGTGCATTAAGACTTGTTTCGTTGCATCCACGTGAACTGTCCTGGAGCATTTTAGTTAAATTAACATGATAGAATGAGATGTAGTAACACAACACCATTTTGGTAATGTGGGTCAAAGTACTTCTATTTTTCTATTGAGAAGCTTTTAATGCACGTTTTCCCCAAAAAAATTTCAAAAAAAATGCTGATGTTGAGAGGAGTTGCCTTGCCCCAGCAACAGACCCTTTAATGCACGTCCTACAGATTTGTTGCTTATTTTTCTGGACATTGTTCAATTCCTTCCTTAAGGGAGTGAATCGGCAATAAAAAAGATTCGGGGTGGGGGGTCTGGATGCACGATGGGAACACTGGTGCAGCAGCAGCACTACCTGCATAGAGATTTGTGGATTAATTTGCAGGCTCGGTACCAGCTCCTTTCAAAGAACCAAGCTGAGAAAGAGACAACAACTTATTGTTGAACTTCTTCAGTATTTACATTACTTTGTTTATAGTTGCTGTAAAAGCAAAACCCAGAACGTATTTCTTTGTGCAAAAAATAAGTGAGAAAAACAAGATGGATCCTGAACAACTTGACCTGAAAAATGAAAATGTTTTCTACTCTGTCCAGACTTTGGCATCCTGTGTATATTATGTTGTTAATGTTTTCAAAGTAACTTAGTTGCACAGGCCCTATTTTCAGAAGGCAGACTGTAACCAAGTCTTTTAGAAAATCAGAGGAACTTAAGATCTGTTTGTTCAATGCTCGTTTTGTGTTTTTCAGTGTCCAGGCCAAACAGTTTAGAGAGCAGTAGAAACGCTTCCAGCAGTAGTTCACCTCTCAATTTGAAAGGTAAACCTTTTGCAGCTGAGTTCTGACTAACAGGACGTGAAATTCCGTGAAACTATGTGCAAAATGCCATTTCCCTTCCAATTAAATTTAAAAACTTTTGTTTTGAAATTGTAATGGTTATGCAGTCTGGATATGGCTGTCTTGGGAACCAGAACTGCTGGCAAGAAGTATTTTTCTAAGACTGATTCTGGCAAGGGGTGGCTCTTAAGGCAGGCAGCCTTCAGTCTGACTGGCATCGTATTGTGGGAAGTATCAGGCCACTCTCAGACTCCTTTTACAACAGGTCTCTTCTGTTCTTACTCTGTACACACTTTGTGTATGGAATCTGTCTGCTCTGGAGATTTGCTTTTGCTGAAATTGTGCATCCTTGAAGGATGCCAGGAGTTCTGACACTGTGGAAAAATCTGCTTTCCCACTGGCAGGTTCTGGCTCTCAGATCACACGCAGCCAAGACTGGGCGACCTTCTGGTGGTACAGAGGTGGTAGGGAGACCTCCTTACTGTCTGTGTTATTCCTATTCTTTGGACAAGTAGTTGTGCTTGTTTAACACAGGGGCTTAAAGTATGTACTGTAAGACGTTTACTAGTCCTGATTTTTCAAAGTTCTGACTGCCTTGAGTTCTGTAGGAAAAGAAAGTAAGGCCAAAAATGCCTTTCCACACCTAGTCTGTGTGGAAATGGCCCTGGATGATAAAGTTCCTACCTCAGTGAGAAATCTACTGAAATGAGGGAAGAACAGTGTCTTTAGTAATATTTATGCTTCTCCTCAGGTTCCTTAGATCATATCCATGGTAGAACTGAGAGCCTCAGCAGTGAAGATATGGTGCCAAGCAGAGAGGCACCAGCCTTGCTCCGAGACACCTATCCATTTCACTCTGCTTCTGCCGGCGTAAGCCCTAGCAGGAGGCATGAGTCCTCCTCCCACAGGAATGGCTTGATCTCTTATGATATACCTCAGAAGAGTACTCCATCCCAGTCTTACGCAGGAAGGCAAAGGTCTGCCTCACCTGGCAGTGTGACTGTAACTTTGGAAGAGTTCTTGGAAGAGAGCAACAGGCTGTCTCCACCAAGTGTAAGTAAACAGAGCTGGATAGCGCATCTCAGATGTCGAAAAATGCTCAAAGCTGATTCAGGGGGGTGAGGGCATAGGGAAACAGGGAAAGAAAAGAAAATCCTTGTTCATACACATGGAACTTGCAGAGGACTATTGAATCTTGCAAAATGAATGGAACAGTTCCAACAACTAAGGCAAGATTGACTTTCACACAGCACTTTGCCAATTTATTTTGGTGTATCAGCTATGGCAAGTCAGGCAGATAATTCACCATAAGTACTATGTATTGGACTGCTGGAGCTTTTTAGTATCAAACACTTGTGGTCAAGGTTTTATATTATATCATCAGTTCTCAGCTTCAGGTATTTTTATTTCTGAACTGATCAGTTTTCTGTGTAATTTTCAGCTGCGTAATTTTTCTGGAATTAGAAATAAAACCTAACAGTAGCTTTCAATTGAAGTGCAAAATACACAGTTGTTAAAACCATCCCTTAATCTGAAAATACCATCAGTGCATTTGAGAGAGAATATTTTTCTTGCTGAAGGAAGTTCTTGATGCTTTCATCATGCTGCGTGTGTGTGCGGTGACTGGCACCGTGCTGTCGGTTCAATAACTGCAAGAATATGTTGCATGCTGAAGTGCTTTGTCAGAAATGAAATGATTGTCTTTTACTGCTCAAACACGCTGTATGGTAGTGAGGCGGTGGAGTATTGAGCATGTTAATATCTTAAGAACAATTCATTGATAGTGTAAGTGATCAGATGCTCCTGTCTCTTGAATGCTGTGGTAACAGTATTGAAATCGACAGACCTGTACCATTTTATGGCATCAGTAAATTCTAGTCCTTGAATTTTCAGAGCAATATTTAAATATACCTTCTATTCCCTCATTATCCTAAATACCATTCTTAGCTTTTACAGATGTTTAAAATTTGATATTTTTTTTGTCTGTAACTACCTGAACACGTCTCCATTTTCATTCTTTCTGTCATCCTTGTTCCTTTTCAGCGTCGGCGCAGTTTAAATGAGAGTGAAATGATTTCGTTGCACCAATTTCTGTTAGAAGCTGATGCACTGTATCCCTCTTGTTACTCCCTATGTCCTCCCCTCCATCAGGAACCTTCGCAGTCACTTGAATCAGTCCTCAGTCATTCGTGTCCCGACAGCGTGAGGCACAGAACAGGCAGGGGCAATAGGAGATCTACTTCACTCTATATCCCCAGGGTATATGTTATTCTTACTATGAAGGCAACAGCTCCCAACTTACCACAGCTTTTGCTAGCATATTAATACCTATAAAAGCATACTGTATCTCTTAGCTGTTATTTTAAAGGCTGCCAGATCACTTGCATGAGTTGCTCGTAAAGTATTTCCTGTGCTTGTTCATAAACATGCGTGTTTTTGGAGGACTAGTCATTCTGTAATGTTAATGTGTGCAACAGCAGTTAAAAGTGAAGTTAAAAATAATCCTAACGCTTTAACATTTAGTTGAGCATAGAAATCTTCCCACTGCGCTATTACCATTGATAGTGTTCACCTCTAGCAAACGAGTTTTGTGAGTGGAAGAAATGTTTGGAACGCTAGTGAAATGAATATATCAAGCTTTAACATACTCCCTAGAGAAGCGTAAAGAAATAAATTTCATGAGCTTGTTACAGCAAGTTTTTTGTGAAGACGGCACGTCCCTTAACTATTCCAAGCATGCCTCGTACTAATAGTCCAATGGCAGCTGATCAAACGTCACCATTTTTGGATTGCATGGACCACCCCCATGAAATATTCATTGCATATTTTCTTTTACTGCCGGGTTAATTGTCTGACTTGAAATTTGGAAGTTAATTGTGGGCAAGCAATCATATTTCCATTTTTGTAATGATGTTTTGTACGTTTCATTATATTGTACACACAGCTTTTAACATACATAGTATATTGACTGGGAGAGGTGAGGGGAATGGAGCAGCAATGACACTCTCCTGTAATGCTAGCGCATCTCCCCAAGGTGTTCTCTCCTGTTACATCCCTGAAGTTACAGTAGAGTGTTATCCAGATGATATGCATTCTGGAAGATGACAGACCATCATTGATATCTGCTGATACCAATGGCTAACGTCATTAATATGATATTGATGTTACAGCGACAGTGGCTGATGTGAAAGAAAGCAAAAGAGCTGCTGCCCAGGTGGCAAGTGAAATGAAAGTTTTAAAATCTGTGACAATTAATCTGGCAAACAAGGCTGTCGTGATCTAACTATGATGAGCACGATACTCCTTGATTTGGATTTATATCTGTTGTAGACATTTGTATCTTCTGTTCCCTTTTTAAAATATAAAATCTATGGTTATGTTTGGGTTGAATGAAGTGGGAAGGAAGATAATCTGAACACAAAGCTCTGCACGATTCTTTACAGAAAAAGTGTTGTCATTAATGTGGCCTGTGCATATTTTCTCACACCAGGACACCTCCAGTAACAGAGACGACTTGCTCAGCGATTATTTTAGAAAAGCAAATGAGCCTTCAGCTACCGGGAACCTACTGATTCAGCCGTCCAGAAAGGACGCTGCTAAGATGCCCACTGGTCTTGTTGCTCCAACTGTGAAGATGACCATTGCCAACGAAGAAGGAAGAACCGCTAAGCCTGGCAATTACATGAAGCCAAACCTCAGACAAGTAGAACCTGAGCCTGTGGCACACTCCCAGGGGTCCCTTAAGCTTCCTCACACACCACAGCACCAGCCCACCAGTGGGACGCGGCAGATGGCGCAGCCTCAGCAGCCTGGAAGCACGAGCAGGAGGAGTACCTCACTGAGCAGGGCATTTAGCTTAGCCTCTGCAGACCTCCTCAGAGCCACCGGCCCGGAGACGTACAGGCAGGAGAGCCCTCAGAGGTCAGCAGCAGACTTGTGTGGGGGCAAGGATGCTGTCAGTCAGACTGCTAGGGTTTCTGTGCCCACAAGCTCCCAGGCAACCTTAAGAGAGAGGCCACAGTCTGCAAAGGTGGCAGGTTCAACGCAAGGCGTCGATTCCCGCTGTCGGCAGCTTGACGCGAGGCGCCTTTCTCTGGCCCCACCGAAGGATGAGAGGCCGCTCTCCTTCCATCAGTTCTCTGCCTCACCCACTGCATCCACCAGCAATCTGAATGTGTCACAACAGGAGCGTGTCAACCCTGGGCAGCACTACTCACCCGCATCACACGCTCCCTCTAAAGTCAAACCCAAGTCAGCCCCTCGTTCTGGGGAGGTGGCCACAGTGGCCCCTGCCAGAGCTGCTTCCAGCAGCACCGAGGGAAAGATTTCCCATGGGCAAGGCCAGGGTGATGCCCTACTTACCAAGTGCCCGGGTAAGCTGCCAGAAGGCAGCACTGGGACTATAGAGGAGCCCATGAGAGGAGGCAGCTCCAACAGCACTCCTGGGTCTCCGGATCCCCAGGGGGATCAGCAGACGGTTTGGTATGAGTATGGGTGTGTGTAACCCAGGGATGCAGCTAGTAGTATGTTTGGCATTGCTGGCGTCCGGGGAGCATTTGTCGAGACACTGTGCCAGGTCTTAAAAGGCATCACCTGCATGCTGCTCTGAGTGGTCTCCGGGTACTGTTTCTTAGTTGGACAAAGTACAATTAAGAGATACAAGGAGCAAAACCCCAGCCCTTCTTTTGACACTGTTGTGCCTAAAATAAAGTGGAAGCCTGAGCTAATCTCACAGCAGGCTTGGCACCTGGTTCTTACAGGTGTTGAGCATTCCCCACTCCAGGAGAAGCTCAGCAGGGTCCTCTGTCATCGCTGCATTCTGCCCCCCTCCTACCTGCATTAAAGAAGAGTTAACAGGTCACACGTGTGCGCCGAACCCAGCCCTACCATTGATAAATAACTTGATCATACTGAAAAGGTCTTATAAAAGCAAAACTTCTCCCCCAAAGACAGAACCAGGCACTTGGCTTAAGTAGCTCAAAGAGAAAGCTGAAGAGCAAAAGTGTGTGGCTTAAGCCATGGATCTGTTAAAATCAATTCTTCTTGCCACAGCCACGCTATTTATAGAGGTAACATGTAGACTTCAAGGGTCACATCTGAACCTTCCCTGCTGGGTCTGTGTAACGCAGAGAGGCCAGCGTAATTACCCCACTGCCCTCACTGTAGCTGCAAGCCAAGTGGTGCTGCCTTTTGAAACTTGTTTTATCTTTTATACAAACACTGGAACTAATGCAGCCTTTCAGGGGAGATGCCATTTCAATTGGAAAGGTGGCATCTCATGTACAAAAGGGTCTTGTATGTATATAAGAAGCTCAAGTATTGTATAGGAATGCTGTGTAAATTGTATTATTACATCCTTGTGTGCATGACAGCCCACATCCTAAGCAATATGTGGGATTTTGTCTCTTAGAAATCCTTGTTTATGTCTGCAAGAACTTGCTCAGTATAGAAAGCAAAATAATTTTGTATACATGTGAAAGAAATATACTTCTAAAAATCTATTTATGTGCAAAGAAGTTCCTTGTATGTTTCTGTCCAGACTCTCATCAGCTGCTTATGTATATATGATCAAATGCATATCTTGAATTCTATTTCATGTTTGTAAAGCTGCTTTTCTTGCAATAGACTAAATCCTTAAAAAAATAGTACTTGTTTTGGTGGTTCTGATTTAATCTAGTAAAAGCTGAAACTGATTCAGCTGAGGATGTTTTTGTTATCTAGTATCTAGTAATCCCATTCTGGAAGCAACAAAATTGTTTATAATAAAGATCAAAATCAAATAGATGGATGTTGTACTTTTTTTTACTTTGGGGAAAAAAAAAAAGTCCACAACCAACTGTGATTCATGGTGCTGGATGGAGATCTGTCCACAATAGCTTTGTTTAAGCCTCAGTTATTGATTTGCATCTCTGTGTGGCAGAGTTACATTTGTTTTTATAACGTTGCCACAAAAGACATATCAGAAATCTTTCTGTTTGATTGTAACTTTCTTAATGAAGACTTTAGGAGGATTGATCATGCAAATTAAGTGACTTCCAGGTCACTGTGGAATCGGACCAATAGGTTTTTAGGTTTCTCTGACCACTTCAGACAGTGCCGAGCACGCTGTCAGTTTCACCAAACTTGCATTTTGTACAACCTGCTTTGTGCTTATCTCTCAGGATTCCTTACAAAAGTGAGAAATTGTTCATCTTTGAACATGAAGAGAATGGCAAAAACAACATTCTGCTATTTGAATTGTAAACCATAGTTTTGCAATAATTTTAAAATTGTGTGGTATACAGCAATTTTAGAACATACTGAATGTTTTGGTAAACTGAAATTCTTCTTCCAGAAATTCCCTCTCAACACTGATTCTTGGCCAGATCACTAAAGACTGGTGTTTCCCCTTTGTTTCAGCTTCTTTTTGGAGGCATGTGCTCGATTGCCCTGCAGGCTGGACTGCTGAGGAATTATCTGCAAGTTACCAGTACCTGTAGATCAGCTTTTGCTATAAATACCTGCCTAGTCACTGACACCTTAGCTGTCATTTTCTGAGCTATTTACAATTATTTACTTTCTCAGTTCTAGTGAGTTGGAATAAAAATGTACTTAAGACATAATACCTTTGAAGTACGGGATAATTTTAAATACAGATGTTATTGCATGGAACAACTGTTGAAGCACATGATGCTGTGGCGCTTGGGCCTTCCTGAGAACATTAAGGAAGATTTTGGTATAGGCAGCTGTCTTACCAGAGGCTGGTACAGTCATTTTGCAGTCTTCTCAACTCATTAATTATTTTAAATTCTGGTAGATGCGGTGGCTCCCAGGTAAGAGCCACTATCGGGTAAGAAGCGAGGTGGGAGGGAAAAGCAGAAGCCCAGGTCCTTCACAGAGACACCTTGTCATGGAAACCTTTTTCCTATTCAGTATTCTTCAGCTATTCCTCAAACTTGGGACCTGATTGTGAAGGGAACAGAACTTTTCTGATTTCAGTTAATTCAGGTCAGAACATAGAATCTCCAGATGAAGAATTAAAATGCAGAATTTACTTTTTTCTGTAATAAAGGAAGCTCCAAGTATAAGTGCATTGTAAAAATGGCTAGTACTTAGCTTTAGAAAAATGATGCATTAAGTAACACCATGTGTTATTAAACATGAACCCAGCTGTGCTGAAAGAATGCAAATTGTAGGTTTGCATTTTTAGACAAAAGGGGGGGAAATAATAATCATTTGTGGTAAGCTTTACCAAACAATTTTATCCTAACAATTGCTTCTGTGCCCATCAGAGTTGTGGAATATCAGATCCTGGCAGCTTTGGAGATGTTCAAGGCAAAGTGGAAAACTTGGGAATGGTTTCACAAATTGCCAGTACCAGGCAGAATTAACCTGACCTAACAGTGCAGGGTGAAATCGTTCAGTTACTAAAAATAACAAAGGAAATTATCCTTATGGATGATGGTTAGACTGGAGAAATAGCCTGGGCCCTGAAGGTCTGTCTTCAAAGCTGGTACCAAAAGTTGCCATAAGAACTAAGAGAGAATGGCATCAGCTGGAAAGTGGTAAAAAAAATAAAAATAAATTATTTAAGAGAGAACTGGAAGGAGTTTAAGGTGACTGGGAGAAGCTATAGCAAGTTTTGCAAAACTACATGGTGTTCTTCCAGTCACAACAATTTCTTCAAAACAAGAAATCGCATTACTCCGTAGTAGTCACTGTCTTGCCATCTGTCTTCTCCACATCCTTCTTTAGCTCATCTATATTGCTCCATTTTGCTCTTTGTTCATGACAAGCGATGGCCAAGCCTTGAGGCAGGACGTAAACTGTGCTATAAACCACTGCAAGTATTTGTGGTGCAGAAGAAGAAAAGTTACTGAACAAAATTGGTCCTGTTTTACCTCAAACCAAGACAGCTGTTATCAAATCAGTCCACAGTCTTGTTTGACAGCTTCTTTGTCAAGACTGTGTTGGAGACCATTAGATTTGAAACTTGCCATCAGAAGTTCTCTCTGCTGCCTGATAGCTCTTCCAGAGATCCAGAATAGCAACGTTTTTAAAAAAAAGGATGGAAGTTGTTTCAGTATATGTAGTTTTCCACACTTAAAAATGTCCAAACCTCCGCCTCGCTTCTCTTCGCAGGGTCTGAGTGTAACAGTTGCTTTCAAAATAAAAAACAGAATTGCCAAAACAGCCACCATAGAAACTGTATACATATAACTGTAAGAAATAGATGTAATTATCACCACATTCTCATTTCTCGCCCAGAATTGCTGGTTTAGTATCAAGAATGTTAGACACCCAGGTTAGAAACCGAGAAACCTGAGCCTAAGCACAGTATGGATCATTCAGTCCATAAATTGGTCCTTGCTGAACTTGTCTCTTTCACTGTAAATTTTATTTCTTGCTGGTTAAGACATCACAGTAGAAGAGAATTTTAGCTATGGCACTCAACTTTTGTTGTACATTAAGAATGTACATCTGTCCTCGAGTGGTTGTTGAAAGGACTTATCTCTTCATGTAAGAGCAATATGACTGATGACCCTGACAGGGTCACACCCAGAGAAGCTAAGCAATTATACTGAAAATTCATATAGACATTTTAATTCCCACAAAGACCACTTCTACAGTCTTCCTGTTGTTTTATTTAAGGTGTGATTTTTCAAGAATATTCGGGATTTGCCCAACTATTTCCAAATAAATGCACTTTCTTCATGGAAGAGCCTCAATTTTCAGTTCCTGCTGGAACTGTAGTTGCTTAACTAATCAGAAAATGGGCAGAATACAGAGACAGATTTGTTTGCTAATGATGACTTGGACTTACAAAGAAAGGGCCAATACAAATTAGTTGGAGAGACAGATGTTTTCTTGTCAGTTCTATTCTCAAACATCAGCAACTCTCCCATCCCCAAAAAATCCCTTACCAGCTACAAGAGTAAAATCAGCTTCAACATCACAAGCTGTAACATTTCCATTTTTATGTGCTTCTTCACAGCATCTTTTATTTTGCCTATTTCCAATTCATTTCCTCCATCTCCAACACCTTTAATAAATGAGGAAAAAACCCAAATGAGTACGAACCCAGCATACCAAATGAGTACAAACCCAGCTCATAGCTCCATACAAGACGATTTCGTCTTTTTCACCAAAAGTATCTAAAAACACAAGACTGTGAATGAAATAGCTGAAAGCATCACCTATCACGTGCTAACCTATTAAGTGTATCTATGCCGTACATTCTATACTGGTGCAGGCAAAAGAAATCAAAATTATTAAGCAGCCATAAACTGCAGACAGAATTAAGGTAGTAGCCTTTGCTTATGGAAGGCCTTAAATGAGTGTTCTATATAATGCATTATCGTAAGTACCTTAGCACAAATAGTGAAAGATAGAAAATGAATCCAAAATTAACCTGAGAAATTAGCCTACGATTCTATAGTAAAGCAAGCCTAAAACTTTGGCTAGTTACAAGGTTTAACTGAAAAAAAAAAAAACAGATTAAAAGTAGCAATTATTGCAGAAAGA